ATGCCATAAAAAAAATGAAATTTCAGTGCTTTCAACCTCCCGAAGCAGTAATAGTTCACTATGCAGTCGTAGCTTGCACCAGTCGATCCTGACTGCTTCAAGCAGTTCGTGTATGCCAGGCCTTACAGACTTGCGAGGGTATGTGACGTAGGTACTGGAGTTTTGTAAGGATGATTGTCGCTTGTATGAGGCTTAGCAGTCAAAGATTATACAGTACACACTGTACAGCGACAGCGTCACGTTTACAAAGAATATTATTGTTCAGCTTGGTTGAGTTTACGTTGCTTAGTTTGGCTGTACAATAAATGTTATTTGTGGTAATCTTCTTAAGTATTTATTTATGGAGTACCTCCTAAAATGGGTTGTCAAGCAATAGCAATACGGTGTAGTTTTGTAAAACTGTTATTCTTTAAATGAAAATATTCTTAATGCTGCAATGGTCGGACAACACGGTTGGTGCAGTAGTTGGGCAACCGGCTGCCGCGCAACGTATCGCGGGTTCGATTCCCGCACGGAGCAACTTTGTGTGATCCATAAATTGTTGTTCCGGGTCTGGGTGTCATGTGTGTGATGCTTCCTGGTTTATCTTTTACAAATAATAGTTTTAGTTCCTCAACAGTTCAAAATTCACTAACCCAAGAGATCTTTTCAAAATATAAAAATACAAGAATTATCCAAAACGGAACCTTCGAATCACAACAAAACCTATCCGAAAATCCCCACAAAGGCATAAAACTACAAGCCTAACAAAAACCGCCCCTGATTCAACCCTCTCCGTTCAAATCTCGGGGGTAGAGAATGTCAATCAAAATATTCGTTAATGGGGTGCGAGATACCGCTTAGGATATTAGATAAATACGAGCGAGGCAGCCGGTGATAACGATAATGTGCCTTAGGGACCAGGGGGAACTCCAAGTGATGAGTTTATCTCCAAAACTGAGTTATGACGTAGCGTTTTAGGGTTATTAGAAAGAGTCTCTACATTTTCTTTGTTTTTTGTTTCACTTAACAGTTCATGCTTGAAATGGGAAAATTATGCGGGTCTATCTCATGGTATTGCAATTGAAGGCAAACGAGCAGTCGGCTTTCCTGATGGTAAGCTATCAGCGCTGGCCATGGGCAACACCAAAGAGGTCATAAGTGGGTTTCCAACCTTTATAGAAGGAGTACGCCCAAATTAAAAGTACCCTTAACCGACGAGCATGCATAAAATGAAGCGAAAGAGGTATGTAGGAATCGTAGTAATTGGCGTTCCCTAGTCTCTGCCTACCCCCATGGGAGACAGGCGTGAAGTTATGTATGTATGTACGCCCTATTCTTGAAGATCGCTGCTGGTTTACATAATATAGGTACACATTTAAAAAAATTTACCAATTACAAATGAGTCCCGTATACGAACAGATGAACTCAGAATCTTAACCATTGCCCAGCAGTCGTGTTTTCGACTACTAAATCACACAGCAGCAGACACCGACTTCAAAACATGCACAAACATACACACACAGGCACCTACATAAGCTTGTAGGTAAATAAACATAATCCGCGGGTACATTTGTCACTGTATTTAATCCGTTCCCATCCACAGGATTAAGTCCGTCAAGCGAACAGAAATTACTTTGGAACTCATATTTTGAATATTTTTCTCGTACACATATGTACAAGATGTGTACGTAGTCCTCCCCTATTCCTCGAAATGAGTTTAGGCACGTCTGGTATCAATTTAAGCAATATTTTCGTATTAATTTTAAATCAGAAAGAAGTTACATGGAGCTAAAGTAAGAAGTTCTTCGAATATCACCTATGTTGCCATATTATTGTGTTGCATTGAACCTGTGCTTACAGAAAGCTTACTCTATCCGGAAAACAAATAGTATGATATAACATCACGCCTTTTATCCCCGAAGGAGTAGGCAGAGGTGCACATTATCTACGGCACTTAATGCTACTGTACAATGAAACACCCACTTTTCACTATAGCGCGTAATAAGGGGTGAGACCACAGAAGTTCTTTAATATATCTGTGGGTGAGACTATTGCCATATACCGCGCACAATTCCAGACTTCCAGATTCCGTGCTACTACTGAGTTTTTTTTTAAATCCAGTAATACTTTTCCTGACCCAGGAATCGAACACGAGACCCCTTGCCCGGCAGACGCACTTGCGATCACTCGGCCAACGAGGCAGACAAATAGTATGACTGGGATAATTATTAAAACTTTCGTAATTGGTAAGCATAGCGCAGAACATCCGCTGAATACAGGTCGCTTCTAGCCGGCCTGGAAGTTATTGGGAGAGGCCTATGATGATGAATGACAATAAAATTATATCTATTATTACTTATCCCTGTCTCAAAATATACCTCTATCAAGGACGACTTTCGATAGATATCTATATCCTAGTTACCTTTGAATTTAAAGGAGATGGTAATTCCTATAACAGTTAGTTATTGAGCGTATCATTAATTCCTACAATAATATTGTATCTTATATAGTAACACCCACTATATTCTATTAGTAGTCTATATTATTATATTCTATGGTTGTTGAAAGTTCATTGCCCTGAGAAATATTTATATTCAACTTTTACCGTTTACCAACTTGTTGTAAAATTAGATTTGAATAACAATGTTTGAATGACTCATGATGGCTTTGCGAATTTTAGGCGACTGTTCATAAAAGGAGTTTTCCTCGAGTAATTCCGTCATCGGTCGAGTGATCCTAGCGCTGGTGATAAACATGGGATCTTCGATTCGATTCTGATTCGTGTAATTTATAACATAACATAACATCGCGCCTTTTATCCTTAAAGGGGTACACATTATGCCACTGTACAATGTAACACCCACTTTTCACTATTTATGCCTATTGCCAATTACCGGGCACAATTCCAGACTCCATGCTACTACTGAGAATTTTTTTAAACCCAGTAGTACATCGCCCGACCCGGGAATCGAACCCGATACCCCTTGCCCGGCAGTCGCACTTGCGACCACTCGGCCAACGAGGCAGTGTAATTTATTTTTTTGGTTATTTTAATTTCACAATTATATAGTTTCGCGTATTTGCGTTACAGTACACAAATATCTGACTAATGACAAATGGATGTTAACTAAGTATAATAATGAAAATCCCGGAAATCAATGAAATGTGTGTTTTGTCTTTATGTAATGTATTTCTGTAAATCAAATAATACTTGACCAGATCTTAATTTAATAACAAACTCCTCGTGGCTTCTAGCATGTGACTGTGTGACGTGGCTTAAGGTCTGACGACCACTGACCATCATACTAGACATGGCTTCATAAGTATACAAGTCCGGAAACCTCAATAATATTTAAATAATGCGGTAAAAACTGTGCAATCAGCCGTTACCCTAATTTACGAATTTTACCCTGAAACATTACCCACAGCCACGACGGTGACTTATCAAATCGTACATCCGTCTGCTAATGGAATCGACAATCGACTGACTAACCCCCCCTCCCCCCCAACTCTGATCGATCGCAGCTTTTAAGAATATTACATTGTGAAAAAACTTCATTTGTATTCATTGCTCATTCTAATCTGCGCCTTATTCTTTGTGAGATTAGGTCTTAAATTCGTGGGTGGTGGTGGGGAGTTGGGACGTTTTGTTGGGGATGGTTGGTCCCTAAATTGGGGGCTGATTGTCAGTGCACATTAAACACGGTGTATTGTCAGTGTGTTGTCGACGACTGATCAAGTTGAGGGAAATCGTTAACGTGTATTGATGATGTTGAGCGGAGCTCTCCTCAAAGGGATTTACTTTTTACAACTGTCTCGTTGATACGCTGATAAGCATTATCATTAGTCAAGTACTGCTTTGATTCTCCTTTTAATGTTCCACCTTCAAACACTCTGCTGTGCTTGCCAATATTTGTATTTCTGTACAAGCTTCTTTTTTTTATTATTTAATGAGCCGACGTTTGATCAATATCTCGCCTGGTGGTAAGCGATGATGCGGTCTACGATGGAATACTCGGGCCTTGAAAATTAGACTGCCATCACTACCATTCAGGAAATACAGACTCTGGCAAAGAATTCCACTCCTTAGCAGTACTCTGAAAAGCAAAAGCTGTGTTTTATTTTAGTACCTAAGTGGGCTTTATATGGCACGGTATATTATTGACTCACTTCATAATCACATGATACTATGATAGGCAAGGCTAAGTTATTCATCATCTCCCTAAGCTATTGCATTACTGGTCTGATATCACGTCCCTCAGTTCAAGCAACCATACCCATTGGCTTTAAAACTCACAGAAAGTGCACGAAATCTAGAATTCAAGACTAGCAAAAAACGGATACCTTGCAAACTATTTCTGTAACGAAAACTATCCAAGGTTCGATGACATATAACACCAAACAGCTCAAAACCAACGCAGTATTTCGTGAAGAATCGCTCAAACAATTCATTCCCGGTTTACCCTGACCCTCACGTTGTCCAACCCAACTGTTGACACAAGACAACTATTCCCGAACATATTGAGCTCCAAGTGTTTGAAATTCCATTCTTATGTGATCTCCGTTTCATTCAGATCTCCGTGAATATTTTGGACTTTGTATGGATGCTTCTTTCTTTAGTTACGTGATGGTGTGACAGGTTTCTCTTCCTACGCATGTCACACAATCATCGGTCTTCATTCACGTGTTAGGCTCGACCGGTTACAGAGCCATTCATGGTGTATAGTGCGTGGGTACATATTACCCTGATTCCAACATCATGGTTTAGGTTATAAGATAAATTAGAACCAACCCTGTTATCTAACGTGTAATGTCGCTTATGGCTTGATGAAGAATGAAAGATCTTGTCATATAAACTCTGAAAAGACAAAATTGTAAGGGGTGACAATCGTCTATAATCAATTGAAAGATAAGTTAAATTGAAACCTACATTGTCAGATTACCTTAGATTCGAGGTCTTACCTACTTTTAAAGTTACTCGTGAAATTAAACTAATATCTTATGTCTTTTGTCCACAGACACAGTAACATCTCGTCGTCCCGAGCCCTATTTCGGCCGCATGATTGGTCGGCTCACACAGTATGCGCACGGTATCAGAGGCACCGTGTACGCTGTGGACGAGAGTACAATCTTTGTGCGCGGGTTCGCGTACGACGGGACTGGTCCTGATGCGTATTTCTGGGTGGGGGACACTCCTCAACCAAGCCCTGAGGGTATACTCGTCCCCTACCCTGAGGATTATACTACAAGGTTAGTATTATATCTAGTTATTTTTCCTTTAAATAGCGGACAGACGTCTGAATCGACGAATACAGAGTGATTCAGTGATGCGATTAAGCTTTATAAGACTAGAAAGTAAAGATGCTATTACCAAACCAACTGACGCCTCTAGTTTATTTAAGCTTTAAATTAGGATATTGGTCAAATTTTGGGAGCCGTTTAAATGAAGACACAGTGAAGTTCTTTGTCTAATCATTCAACGTTGCTACCATCCGTGCGTCACTGCATGGGTGCCCACTGAAAATCAGTTCTGGGTGACTTGTATGCCTGGCTTACACTGAGTGGGTGACTCTTTTAGCACAGGCATGTTGTCAGCGTCATCTTCTAATTCTTCTGTTTTAATTTTTCAACTCAATGTTTTTATTACTTCCACTGTCACACCTTTATTGTCTTTTTTTTATTTTATTTATGCTGCATCGTGTCTGGTGCTGAATAAATGTTTTTTTCTTTCTTTCTTTTTAAGTAAGTTGCAAATTCCGACACTCATTTGCCAGACAAAACATAGTAACGTTACATCACTAGTTTACGGTGGTAATCTGTAAGAAGGTGGTACTTCCCCGGTCGAGCCAGTTCATTCCAGTTGCATATTATAACTACGAGGTTACTATCAATATTATTTAAATATAACTAGTCAATTGAACTGACAACGTGTTCAAATAGAATCGATTTTCCCGATTCTAATTCGAGAATCGGTTACACAAGAGATTGTGTAGCTCGGTTGAAACTAACTCTTGTATTGTTACTGGCTAAAGTTAAACTTTCATTGATAAAGTTTCACCCACTAAAGGTCGAGGGTTCGATCCGCTAATGAAGTTGTGTTCAGTTGTCAGCTCGTCAAACTATACCTGTCTGTGAAACTCAAATAGATTTTCAATCTGATTCTTTCTGCCTTTATTAAGACACTAGCTTTTACCCGCGGCTTCGCTCGCGTTACAAAAGGATAAAAAGCCAATGTGACATATAACAAAACACACAGCGCCATCTATACCAATACTATTGTTTTCCCTCGGGAATATCATTTTTTTCCGGGATAAAAAGTACCCTATTATTTAATCCAGACTACTAACTTCACGTCTGAAAAATTCAATGCAATCGGTTTAGTACTTACGGCGTGAAGTCGGAACAAACAAACAAACAAACTCTCTTTCCGATAAGTAAGGATTTTTGTTTTAACGTTGGTTACTGCATAATTTTCATATCTATCTCCTAATTAAGATAAAGTAATTAGGGTTAATGTTGCCAGGGAATGAAAATTAAAAATCTAATTAGTCCGTCAGTTAGATAATGAAAAAATATTAGACTTGTATTGTTTTTATTTTCTCGTATAAAGTTACAATACTTAGATAAAATGGAGTTCTTTAAGTTTAGAAGTGGGAGGTCTTTACGTCATTAAGTGCTACAAAATGTAGCGTATTGTGACGTCACACGATATTTAAAATTACTATATCGTAGAAAGTATTTAATTTTGTGAGAAAGGAAAAAATATGTGTGTGTAATGTTTTAAATAAATCTTCCAGACGGACATTAGAAAAAAAATTAGGCAACTACCCTATTAAGGTTCCTTTTCCTTAGACCACACGGATACTTTAATATGTGCACCTTTTTATTGGCTTTGAAAAAAAAACATATACATAAATGAATTCGATTCTCAGCCATTTTCTTGTCTATTATCTAATCGAGTAGAAGTCGTTACTTCATGTTATTTTTTTTCAATTTCTTTCCTTGCGAACAGTAAGTGTTCAATATCGATTTATTTTTTACTACAATATAATAATTACGATGAACAAACACTACAAATATTACAAGTGAACCTCTTGAATAATAACAAGGTGCTCGTTATAATATTTTGACAAATTGACGTGAAGTGGGACCTCCTTGAAATAATTCCTCCGCTCTTGTTCCAACGAGATTATTGATCTATGAAATATTATATTATTTTATACTGCCAAGAGATTTTTTTACCATTAATTGGAAAAACACTATAATGTATTTCACGTTATTTATAAATGAATTTAGTGAAATAACAAAGTCAATTAAAGCTCTCGGACCGAACTGAGAATTTTAAGGAGGCTATACACTCGGAGTCGCGGAGAACCTAACGGGTAACCGGGGCTCCGGCTCGACGTGCAGGAGAAGGAACGGGGTGGTTTTTAGTCAGTAAGAGTCTGACACTCCCTTCCGCCTCACCCAGGCGGGAGCAGTCATTCGATGATTTTCCCCCCTTAAAAAAAAAAGGAGGCTATACACGCTAGGTTATGCATGATGGGTATAACTGTGCATGCAGAACCCGAGCACCGATGCACCGATAACTGTACAGTTTAATCACACACACGCTAGGGCTTGCCTGTTCTACCCCGGTCACCGGGGCGAGTGGAACCGGCGAGAGATGTCACGCGGTGTTCCACAGGGTTCGGTTCTGGGGCCGCTCCTGTGGAACATCGGTTATGACTGGGTGTTGCGCACCGACCTCCCGAACGGCGTTAGCATGATATGCTACGCCGACGACACGCTGGTGCTAGCGCACGGGAGGTCGCACCAGGCGGCGGCCGATTTAATGGCGACAGCGGTTGCGACAGTCGTTGAGAGAATCCGGCAGTTGGGACTCGAGGTGGCGCTCCACAAGTCCGAGGCCATGTGTTTTCATGGCCGCGGGAATGCGCCACCTCCTGGTGGGTCTCAAATAATGGCGGGAGGGGTTACCATCGGCGTCGAGACGGCGATGAAGTACCTGGGACTCGTCCTCGACAGTCGATGGAACTTCGTGGAGCACTTCCGACGTTTGGCTCCAAAGTTGGCGAGGGTGGGGGCTGCGTTTAAGCGCATCCTCCCCAACCTCGGGGGGCCAAACGCCTCCTGCCGGAGGTTATACGCCGGGGTCGTGCGGTCCATGGCCCTCTACGGCGCCCCTGTTTGGGCGCCGAACCTGCTGCAGCGGCCCGCTCGGGCGCTGCTTATGGCACAGAGGGTCATGGCGATCCGAATGATCCGCGGATACCGCACGATCTCTGGGGAGTCGGCGAACCTCCTTGCCGGATTACCGCCGTGGGATCTGGAGGCGAAGGTGCTCGCGCGCGTGTATCGCATGCGCGCGGAGGCACGTCGCCGGGGCGAAACTCCGCTGCCGCGCCAGATAAGTGCGTGGCGGGATGAGCTCCGGCGCGATCTCATGGCGGAATGGCAGCAACGACTGTCGCAACCGAGGGCTGGGCTCGCTGCCATTGCAGCGGTAAGTCCCCTCTTTGAGGAGTGGCTTGAGAGACGCTACGGCGTCCTCACCTACCGCCTGACGCAGGTCCTCACCGGACATGGAAGTTTCGGGAGGTACCTGTGTCTGATGGGGCGGGAGGAAACGCCCGGGTGTCATCACTGCGAGGACCACCCTGAGGACACGGTGGAACACACTGTTGCGGAATGCCCTGCGTGGGCTGAGCACCGCCGTGCCCTCAGGGAAGTGATCGGCGATGGAGACCTCTCGCGTCCGGGCCTAGTTCAGGCCATGATGCGGAGCGAGGGGGACTGGGATGCCGTCTCCTCCTTTTGCGAAGCAGTCATGCTGGCTAAGGAGGAGGCGGGACGCGTGAGGCAGCGAAGCGCTGCCTCCTCGCAACCCAGCCATCACGAAGGACACACCGGGCGTCGGGGATCGCGGGACGATCTCCGGCCACCGTAAGCGCGGGCCTGCGGACGGCGAGCATGGGTGGCTCCCCGTCCGACCAGAAACAGACCCGAGCGTACGGCGCGTCGCGTTCCGCGCGCGCCTCAAAGAGCCATCAGACCACCACAGATGGGGCCCAATAGGGCCGATGCCGATTCGGAGTCGCGGAGAACCTAACGGGTAACCGGGGCTCCGGCTCGACGTGCAGGAGAAGGAACGGGGTGGTTTTTAGTCAGTAAGAGTCTGACTCCCTTCCGCCTCACCCAGGCGGGAGCAGTCATTCGATGATTTTCACTCCTTAAAAAAAAGGGCTTGCCTGTCGGTTATGCATGCACGGCTAAAACCATCATGCAAAACCTAGCGTTTATGGCCTCCTTAACTCTAAGTCTTGCAGAATTGGTCCTGTAGTAATGTACCCAAGTACTTCTAATAGAGTTTTTAACGGACACTTTTTCACAAATATAACATTAAACTGCAGCAGTAGTTAGCAGATGAGCAAAGTCGCGGTTGAACCTTACACAACAACTGACAACATTATTTATGAAAATACAAAACCTATTACCACGTATTACCATTCTATTTTGAATAACATTCGCATAATGCTCTCCATCCTTCCCTATTCTGAAATATTCACTCGTAGACGCCACATTCGTCAAAATGCCACCAACTTAGTATTCAAGAAGCGAAACGAAAACGAAATAAATTCGTCGTCGATCTATGAGCGGCCCCCTAGTTCATTCTGAGCGGCACCTTACTTCATTCTGAGCGGGACCCCGGCCCCTGTCTGCGTAATTCAAGTACAACGTTATTTAAATAAGTTCAAATTAATTTGGATAAGTGCGCTTTCTTACTGTCTTGTTGGGACTTGTTTTCAAGAGGATGGTGTTGCATTCGATTCTCAGGTGGAGTAATTAAATTGTTGGAATTTTGAATTTGGTAATTCGTATTTCTGTAGACCAGATGTAGACCAGTGTTAGATCTGATGTTCTGGCATCGGTGTTAGGCGCTTCTCATGTCGCTCAACACTTCAAAAAATTCATTTGAATTAAATGAGAACGAGGCTTTTAAACAATAAAAAACCCTTTATCAGTCAGTCACTCAGTGGAGCTATTTAAATGGATGGTGAAGAATGTGGTATTTAAACTTTTTTTTTCATAATAGAAATAGGGCATATAACGAGATATAGTTATAATGAAAAATTATGGTGCTACATGACTAGTACCAACGACCAAAATGAACATAGAAATTTATAGTTACCAAGACTTTAGAACTAGCTGTAATAACTACGACACATTAAAATCAATAAAATCGTGTCATAACGTTGTGACCTGTCTGTAACTATAATCACCTCTACTGCTTTAGTTATAAGGTCTGTTTTTGTTATCAACCAGCTTGGAGCTTCCGTATAATCGACTGGACAACTTAAAATCCTTTTAGCAATGACAAATGTATGACATTGATGAGGTTTTTCAAAGAAATCGGTTTTGTTTGTGTTCGTCACATGTATGTCGGGTCATAACCTCGACCAATGAACACGGATTATTGCGTTTTATGGAAATTTTATTGCATACACTAACGAAATGTTTGTAAAAGATAGGCATACCTATTAACAAAACATGAGTTTTTCTTGGAAACCTAGGTACCTAATATTAATTTTATAGCCAGTTTTAAGCCACAAGACTGACCTAAACGGCATTTATAACAAAGCTTACGTCTGCCACTAATTACGATAAAAAAGAAAAAGGAAACATTCAAAATTCCAAAATAAATTCACGTCTGTCTGAGAAAAATTCGAATAAAAAAATATCTCAACAAAAAGTTAACATGAAAGGAACGCGACAGGAAAAAGCTTTGCAAATACAGGATAATACTTGAGACACCCCATCCCTTACATCCTCCGTAATTATAATATCTTAGGCCTAGTACACACCGGTGGCCGAAGGAGGTTGACGACGCATCGCGTCTGCCAATAAAACGGCCCGTTTTCATCCATATGCCATAGTAGTTAAGGTTTATATTAATTTGATATATTCTCAGTATCTTCGCCGCGCCTCCGCCGGTGTGCGCTGGGCTTTAAGGGATGGGACACAAAACGACTTGTTATTTGGGGGGATGTTAAAAATATGAATAACACAGTAGTAAAATTGTTTGATAATTAAATAATGATAATTATAGGGGATGGTAATGTTAATGGGGGCTTAGAAGAGGGGAGTATTCTTCGTCGTTAGCAAAATAAAGGACGTCATTACTTCCTTGTTGCCCAGTTGTTAAAAATGCGTAAATTGTAGTTAAGCGTTCGTCCTTTTTAAAGGTCATTTTCAGCTTTTTGTTTTCCTTCTTCGTTTGTTTTTTAACAAAATAAGTGATGATATTAATGATAGCCTGTTGTTTAGAGATCTGAATCTTAGTTTTGCGTTCCTATTTGAAGTAGGTATAAACATTCTTTAGAAAATATGAACTAATATCAATTTTTTTTAAACGTCACTCCTTTTATCCCCGAAGGGGTAGGCAGAGGTGCACACAGAAGTAACGTCCACTTTTCACTATTTATGTTATGAGTCCCATGTAATAGGGGGTGAGCCTATTGCCATATACCGGGCACAGTTCCAGACTCCGGCTACTACTGAGTTTTTTTTTACCCAGTAATACTTTGCCCTATCCGGGAATCGAACCCGAGATCCCTTGCCCGGCAGTCGCATTTGCGACCACTCGGCTAACGAGGCAGTGTAATACCAAATTTTCATGGAAAAATCCCTTATTTTGATAAAAACTTAAGCTTGTAATGTGTAGAGCAAAAAGAAATAAAATATAAACTCGTACAGATTTCATCGAGTTTGCCGCTTGGCAACAAGAACTCTGTTTGTATTATTTTGACTCAGATACAGGTCCTTGAGACAAGCTTATTCCATTCCTAGAAAAACAAACCGCTGGGCCCAATCGCTTACTTATTACTAAGTCACTATTGATCAGCGTCAACTGACTTTTACCTACTCTTTTAGAGGTTAGCAATACATGCCTTCTCTTGTGAGAGGCCTTTATCTTTAGCAGTTGTCAGCTGATGATGATTACCTATACACATATAATTATCATTGGGCGTTAATTCAATTCAGATTTGGTTGAACTTCAATTAACTGTCAAATTGACTGACAAGTTTACTTTCTACTAATACATTTTTAACACATACATAATATCATGTCTTTTTATTCCCGAAAGGGTAAGCAGAGGTGCACATTACGGCACTTTTCAACACCCACTTTTCACTACCTATTTATGTTATAAGTCCCATGTAATAGGGGGTGAGCCTATTGTCATATACCGGGCACAATTCCAGACTCCATGCTACTCCAGAGATTTTTTTTAACCGACTTCAAAAAAGGAGGAGGTTATACGTTCGGCCGGTATGTTGCTTTTTTTTTTTTTTTTTTTTTTGTATGTATGTACGCGCATAACTCTGAGATGCGTGAAGCGATTTGCAAAATTTTTGTTTTGTTGGAAAGGGTATACTCCCAAGATGGTCCCATTTCCATGAGGTCAGGATCTGATGATGGGATCCTAGGGAAACCGAGGGGAACTTTCGAAAATTATATGGGCGAGTGATGCGTCTATTATGTTTTTCAATTAGGATTTTTAAACACTACAATTTGATAAGGGTCTGGAGTCGACCTGATGATGGAGCCGATAGACAGTCGAGGGAACTCCTCAGCGGTTTATACTAACTACCTTGTGTTTGGGCTTGATTAATTTGTATTGATGAGGACTTTACACCTTGATAGAGTAGGGCTGTCATTAAGGGTCTGATGATGAAGAAGTGTAATTGTTAAGGGAACTCCTCAACGGTATACTGTAACTACCTTGTGTTTAGGCTTGTATAATTTGTATTGATTAGAACTTTGCACCTATGTAGATTATAAGTAACAAAACGGGTATATGTAGCTTTACACTGAAAATGATAAAATAATAAAATAAAAACTGCGTTTAAAAAACCGACTTCAAAAAACCAAAAACTAATAACAAACAAAAAGTCTAAACTAAAACGCAAAAAATAACTATTATTAGTACTGATAGGTTACCCACCCACTGATAGGTTAGAAGTCGGTGCCATAAGCTCATATCATAATGATATAACTGTCCACAAAATTGTGAATTAGGTACCTATTAAGGTTTTAATGAATAATTTTGTATGGAACTTATGGCACCGACTTCTTACCTATCAGTGGGTGGGTAACCTATCAGTACTAATAATAGTTATTTTTTGCGTTTTAGTTTAGACTTTTTGTTTGTTATTAGTTTTTGGTTTTTTGAAGTCGGTTTTTTAAACGCAGTTTTTATTTTATTATTTAAAAAAACAAGACACCTTACCCGGCAGTCGCACTTGCGACCATTCGGCCAACGAGTCCACAACGGCAGTCCTTGGTAAATTAAGTTTACCGGATGAACAATTTTAACTTTAAACCTACCTATAGGTTCATAGACAGAAAATCATCGTGTAACCCCTACTTCATACCATACCTAGTTCAGACGTGAAACTAAAATCCTTCCCAGTAGAAAATTGTACTGAAATAAAGTCGCTCTTGCTCTTGTTAGGACATTGTCGTCTATGTACTCATGTACCACCCTATGTAGCCACTTACTTAGCACATATAGGTACAACAAATGTATGTTAGTATGTGTATGTATGTATGAGCGAACCTTTGTTACATTTTATGATCCTACGTTCAGTTGCAATGTGTTTCTTCAACTTCTATTATTGGGAGAAAAGAAGGAAATCTATTTCAAATACTATAAGGTACATTATACATGGTCGTATCTTTCTGATGTGGGTTCGGTTGTAATTCCAAGTCCTATTAGAAGAGAGTCGTATGTACCAGAGTACATCTACTCTTCGTCAGCTGTATTTGGATATCTGACTGTGTCCATTTTCCTTATAATTTCGGAGACTTTTTAAGTGTGGGAGAGCCATGCTTCGGCACGAATGGGCCGGCTCGACCGGAGTGATACCACGGCCTCACAGAAAACCGACTTGAAACAACGTTTGCGTTGTGTTTCGTCGTGTGTATGAGGTTACCGGAGGCTCAATTACCCCCTCCCTAGTCTCCTGAATCCCCGAATCCACAATCCTCAAATTCTCAATTCCCAAAAGGCCGGTAACGCACTTGTAACGCCTTGGTGTTTTGGGTGTCCATGGGCGGCGCCGATTGCTTACCATCAGGTGATCCGTCTGCTCGTTTACCGGCTTATGCTATAAAAAAGACTGTTTTGGGCTATTAGTGAGTGGTAGTAGTTTAAACAAAAATGGTTGAAAACCCAGACTTTTTCTTTAGAGAGTGCTTTTCAACAACGACATTTTTTGAAAATCTACACTAAGGCAGAAGAAGTGGGATTTTGATTCGATTCGCAAGGCACATTTTTTTATTGTAAATCAATCGCTTTTGTATATCTCTTATCTTCGCTTCTTACTAGTCTTATTATAAATGCGATAGTTTGTGTGTTTGTTTATATGTTTGTTACTCACTCACGTCAAAATGGTTGTAGGGATCGTGATGAAATTTAAAAAAGAGGTAAATTAAGATCTGGAATAATACATCGATTATTTTTAATCGCCGCGGGCGAAGCCGATGGCAGAAGCTTGTCTTTTATTATTTTAGTAACTTCTTTATCATACCATACGAAAGTTTATTAAAACATCTTGGTGTTCATATTCCAGGGACCCCCCGATACTGTCGGCGCACAGTAACACAGACATACTGCTGAAGCTGCCCGGAGGCAAGCGCCTGAGGGACATCAAGTGGATCAGTGTCTGGTGCCGGAGATTCACTGTAAGTGTATTTTTATAGGATAGAAAAGCGAATGAGCAGACAGATCAGATGATGGTAGGCTATAGGCGTCGTCTATGGACACCCGCAACACTATAAGAGTTACAAATGCGTAGCTGGCTTGGGTATTGGAGATGCAGGATAAAGAGGAGAATTGGACTTCCGATAACCTTACACACACGATCAAATAACAGTGATGCGATGTTTCTAACAATTAATAGCAGTTTTTGCAGATCGCATTGAAGTAGATCAATATAATAAGAAACACTAATATAAACAATTTAAAAAAGATTTGCAAGTGAATAATATAATTTAGAAACAATTGCTGTTTTTTCATAGGTTTTTTCGTAATTAAGTACATATTACCTATGTACCTACACACATAGGTAAATAAAGTATGTCTCAAAACCTAATATACGCAAAAAGCTGCTTCACCCGCAAGTAACAACCGAAACAAAATATCGATTGCTTTTGGCGCGCATGCTTACAACTTTCGCGCCAAAATGTGACATTTAGCCGCCATTGCTCAAGTACAGAATGAGATTCATTTCAAACGCTGCCATTGGTCGCGTTCGCCGTGAATGGATACGTTCACTTGATGTTAATTTGACACGAATGAGATTTAATATTTGAAATGTGATAGTCGAGTCGGGTTGTAGATATTTACGACAAGATGATAAGTGGCATAAAAGGTTTCTGTTATTATTGAAACTTTTGACACAAAACAAGTAAATAGGTAACTTTCTAACAAAAAATACGTATGTAACATAGTGGTACCACATATCACTTGACAATCACGACACGTATGTCGGCAATATTTACTTTTCAGACATATTCTACGTTACTTGCCACCCACATAAACAATATAGGTAGTAAAATCCTTCGAGGACTTAAAAAATACTGAGTAACCACAGCCTTGTGTACTGTAGATAACATCATTTAAAAATCTTCCATACCCTTATCGTAATTTCAACATGTCTCAATTATTCTTCTCCAGGTGAACTTCGGTGACGTATTCATACCTCCGGTTCTGGACCCTCCCCGGCCTCGTGTTCTGCCAGAGTTCAAACGTCTGGCTCATGGCCTAAGATCTGGCAATATTAGTGTGCTGGACGCTAAAACCTTCTACATACCCAACCTGCACTATGATGGAGCAGGTCCCGACGCCTACTTCTGGGTCGGCAATGGATCCGAACCAAATCCTTTTGGAACTAAGGTATACAATTTAACAACTAGGTTTTAATCGCGGCTTAACCTGTATGCATTACAAGGACATCTGGTAATGATGAAGTACAACATAAGTGTAGTTTCACTATGGTTTTCTGCTCGGTCGTGTTATAATTTCGGTTGAACCGGTCCATTGTTGCCGAAGCATGGTTTTGTCTCATGGGTCGAAATTATAACTTAATGGCGAAATATCAATATACGAATTAAACAACCTGTGATGTAAGATTGTTGAACGATACAAGTAAATACTGATATAATTAACTATCAGTAATTACTCGTGATGTGTAGGCGTTTGTAAAGTTGGATGAAGTTTATTATCTGTGTAAACGAATAGAATTCAGATCCCTAGTTGAAGTTTATTTGAATACGATATTCACTATAGGTACGTATAGAGAACATTTCCTGAATGCAGTATCTTTGTAGACACAAATATCAAAGCTCGTAACGGTAATGGCAAGCAGAGCTCATATCGAATACTTAACTTATCGACAAACTGATATTTTAATTAAATAATATGTTATACGGTTGCTGTTTGACGAGCAAAACTCTATTATTTTCAAGTCGCACCAGGGACCCACATAAATGATTATTCCAAAAATAATAATAAATTCCAGGTCCCCAACGAGATGGGATCCCTTCATCCCCTACGTGGCTACCAGGGCGAAGACATAGAGATCCAGCTGCCAGGCAAGCTGACGGCATATGATATAGACTGGCTGGCGGTCTGGTGTGTTGAGTATCGCCATAACTTCGGCCACGTCTACATACCGAAGGACCTGGACGTGCCGCCGGCTCTAGGACAGACCAAAATTACTGTGAGTTGGCAAATGGTGGTAGAGACTGAAAGAATGTGTTTGTGACGTCAGTTGTAGATGTTTTGAGTCAGGTGGATGACTGATAAATGATTGTCACGTTAGTCAAGTGATTGCATCTGCTACTAGCTACTAAAGAGTAAGGGGTTTCGCATTTTCGGATTCGATTTCCGTGTAAAGCAAAGTAGTTATTGGGCTTTTCGATGTTTGAAAATGTATTATGACTTTTGTATAAGATTGGGTGGCCCTTTTTTAATGGGAGTTAACAATGACATTAACTGGCCAACTATGAGTGCGACCCTTGGGGAAGTACTTGTGATAAATATGATGTTGTGTTGAGAGAAGATGGCAGTCTGATGATGCATGGCGGAGAAAAAATTAATTACCGTTTTCACCAACCTACCCTAAACTACCTCTTAACTAAAAGTTATTCAGCGTAAGATATCACTTAAACTAACACCTTACTTGTACTGTTAGGTGTCACTTATAGATTAGTGTAAACCATAATGTCGTTAAATGTCACCTATCTAGGCTTAGGGGTTCCTTACAATTTAGAAGAGGTTGGTGAAAACAGGTACACAACTTCTAACTAAGAAACTCATTGAAATTTACTTTTAACATAATCAAATAATAACTTTCTTCCCATATCTAACAGCTTGCCCGGATACTTAACCAAACATTTGTCACAATACATCATAATCGTGTTTTCATCCCTAATCTTTACAGGGTAGACGGAAGCCTGCTAAAGGACGTACGCCTACTAAGTTCCAAAGACTAACAAATAATAGTCCACCTAGGACAACTAGGGCTCCTAGTGTTAAACCTAACTGGTTCTCATTTGACTGGTTGTCTGGTTTCTGAACCAGGGTTTACGAAACAGGATCAAAGAGATGTCTCTTTTGTTCTTATGTCTTCTTAGTCAACCGCTAACTGAAGAGACTTAAGAACCCTCTCTTTTTAATCAAATTTCCGTGGTGCTTAGCGACTGGGCTTCACCCAGTTGTACAGTCTCTTTGCTTTGACCCTTTAGGCTTAATTCACTTTGTCTCCTGCAGTAATTCACTGAGGGAAGTGTAAACCATCGTTTTTTTTCTTCTCCTCTTATAATATCTTCTGATTCACTTCGTTGCGGGAACCAAGACAGTTACTCATGTCCCTGGGACACGCCGGACTTCAGTGTTCCGGTGTTTTCATGGTTGTATCTACTGTAGATCCTGGCTTACAGGAGCTGCAACGGTTTTGGGAGGTTGTGGCGGCCTTTTCCCAAAAAAAAAATCCCTCTCTTGAATTAGCGGTTTGGGTTATGGCGATAGATACCTTCTCTGTTTCATTTTCGTTCTAGATCTACATCTAGGACCAACGTACAATCCTAATCTTAATTCGTTACCAGATACAGTTTATTTTCTATCTAACTGAAGAGTAGAGTTGGACTTTGGAGTGTTCAGATGAAAAATCTCCCACATTTAATGAACGAGACAACTTTTGGAAGCCTTGTTTATTTTTTATTATTATTTTTTTTTTTAGCTATGGTCGTCCCACTTCAGGGCAAAGGCCTCCCTAGCTTCCTTCCAATCCGTCTCTTCGTCTCTTCGTAGAGCTTAAGCGGAAGCCTTATTGGAATTATTTTTTGTCTTATTCCATTGCAATCATAACTTAAATCCTAATATCTGAATGAAGACAGACCTATTCACATTTTGAACATACGTAAGCGAGTCTCATGATCCTGTGTCGTAAAAAAGACTGAATATAATAATAACTCTGTTATTTACTTTTATTATCTAACAACTGTTGTGTATGTACTTAATAAAGCTTTGTTACTAAACCGTTATATTATGTTTGTATCTCTCTGCTTACCCTGGAATTGTTATCGTCGGGACATTATGTTTTTACAGCCCGCTTGGTGGTATAACCCTGTGAGTATTTATTTTATTTATTTATTTAATTTTGTGTGCTGTTTTGGGAAATTATTTTTGTTTACTAACCTTGTTTTAAGCAGAATCTTCTATTACTTACTTGTTCTATTAGTTATAGGTTAATTAATAGGGTAGTTGCGTAAATTTGATTTTAATGTTCGTCTGGTAAATTAATTTAAAACATTAGACACGTATTTTTTCTTTTCTCACAAAATTAAATACTTTCAACGTTATAATAATCTGAAATATTGTGTGACGTCACAATACGCTACATTTTGTAGCACTTAGTGACGTAACGACCTCCTAAACTTAACTCCATTTAATTTAAGTATTGTAACTTTATACGAGAAAATAAAAAAATACGTATCTAATATTTTTTCATTATTTAACTGACGGACTAATTAGATTTTTAATTTTCATTCCCTGGCAACTACCCTATTGCCTTTATAAATTGATTAACACGCTTAAGTGAAGGTTTTAAATTATAAAACTAATCACGATCTTACTGTGGTGGAACTTACATAAAAGTAGTGTTTTATTGCGATTAAATAAATAGTGATACATTAGCCAATAATTTTATTTATAATTTTGGGACTGCTATTGAGTTTTTCTATACGGGTCATAGAACAAAGGAACTGACAGCTGTAGCCAAATGCCATTTAACGCTTGTCTACATGTAGAATAGAAAACCAAATTATATGGAATTGACGTAAATTTTGACACTTGTCAGTGTCATGCCCATACATTTTGATTTCTACTCTCACTGTAGACAAGCGCTAAAGTGGCGTTTGGCTAAAGGGTCTGATAGTAACAATTCTATACTATATTACGGGAATGCTCAACTAATTTCGAACCTGACTGGAGTCCTTAATCGTAAGTCGCCCAGCTCCTAATTTAGTACGTACCTATTAAACGAAAACTTATCTCAACTTATACTACCTTACTTACTAAACTAAGTTTAACTTAACTTTTGAACAGCTACACAGGTAAAGTATGGCCTTTTAATAACTTATCAGAAAATAATACAAGTAACTTTTACAGACGAGTTCAACGACCTCTCAGTCACCATTCAGTGCCACGAACAACTGCAAGGAGATCCTCGACAAGAGATTACAAGTGCGCTGGGAGATACAGGTGAATATTCAATACTATTATTTTTTAACCTAAAGATATGGGTAGTTTGGGTTCGATTCCTATATGAGATCGGAGTTAGGCTGCGACAGGTTTACGTGTTTTTCACGGTTATTTATATACTTGCTTAAAATATTCTTTCGTTAGAATAGACCAATAGACATTGGTTGTCGAGTGGTCGCAAGTGCGACTCGAGTTCGATTCCCGAGTCGATCAAAGTATTACTGGGTTTTGTTCAGTAGTAGTATGGAGGCTGGAATAGTGTCCTTTATATGGCAATAGGCTCACCCCTCTGCTATCACATAGGACTCATAACATAAATAGTGAAATGTAGGTGTTACATTATACAGTGGCATTAAGTGCCATAATGTGCACCTCTGCCTACCCCTTGCGGATAAAAGGCGTGATGTTATTACGTGATTCTCTAAAAGGCTAATCAACGATGTATTTCCATACTACCCGTATTACATTCTTTGAGTTGTGCCTACCTTGACTGCCGACTCTTCACCTACATTCATAAGACCTTTTTTTTTTGATGTCGAGTGGAGTGACCTTCAAAAGGCGCCTAGCTTTTTGGGGAGAAAAACTAGGGAGTGTGGGATTCTTATCTCACTGAAACCACCCCGGTGGCCACCCTCAGCACCTGTAAGGGGCACCGGGTCCTCTGAAGATACCTGCTCCGGAACATTCATAAGACCTACATGCACATTAGAACAAAAATTCATAAATAGTTGATCAGCTTTTTAGACTATGTGTAAAGGCATCTTCAATACTCCGTAACCGAGTCTATTATTTCTCGTACATTGTGTATTTTTTTATTTCAGTAAAGGTAAGTTACTTATTATAAAGCCCTTATCATGCAGCCGGATGATACCCCTACACTAACTTAGTTGAACTTTGTCTAAATCCTAGCCTTAATAATTAGTCCCTTAATGTTTCCATTCAAGCTGGTATCCAGAGAACTTTGAAGGTAAAACATTATTGTTATACACACGTACATTTACCACCTATATGTATAATATTATGCGATAAATAGGAGTAGAAGAATCCTTCCCTTATAAGTGAGCGAGTCTTTCTGTCATATTGTTCACATGTTAAGAAAAAAATAAGCTCAATTTTATTTAGTTGTCGAATGAGTGCTAGTGGCGCTAGTGTCGCTTTGTGTCACTCTTATTCAAACAAATTGGCTGTTAAAATTAACTGAAATTAGCACATATTTTAGTAATTCTATTGATTAACAGACCCTAAATCTACCCACCTAGCGATATGCATAACCTCTAAATCTATAATCAAATACTTGTTGAAGACTCTATAAACAGCAATAATGATTAATGACCAATATAAGAAACCTATAATTTAGGCTACAAATCTCCTCCAAAGTACCAAATTATCAGGTTATGCCTTCTCTAACCTCTGTTTCGACTTCCAGGGTGACCAAGTCCAGATAACCCTTTCTGCTCGGCTCCGCAAGGAACAGTATATGGCGTTCGGTATCTCTGGAGCTGAAGGTAGACCTGCCATGCTGGGAGCCGACGTCGTCGTCGCTTACTGGGACACCAGGTTTGTATTGTAGACTGTGATATTGGTACAGATCTAAGGTACATTTACAGAAATAACGAAGACTAAAGAGACGGCTTGACAGCCTCCACTTAACTGTCTAAGATAATTAAATATGACCCAACTACCAAATATATCTGCTATCATTTATTTGGTACCTTGTAAATCGCCTGACGCCCGATAGTGTAGTGAGCCTGATCCGAGTATTACTTAAAAGCCCGGTATAGGCACTACAAACCACGCTGCAGGGCCGCGCCGACCCCCGGCAGCGCCTGTGTGCGGAATCGATGGAGCGCCTCTTTTTTACCGACTTCAAAAAAGCAGGAGGTGCTATGTTCGGCTGATTGATTTTTTTTGTTTGTTCGCACATTACTCCGCCATTTGTACACCGATTTCCAAAAATCTTATTTTGTTTAAAAGGGTATACTCTCGAAATGGTCCCATTTCCATGAGCTCAGAATCTGATGATGGGATCCTAGGGAAACCGAGAGGAACCGAGGAGAACTTTCGAAAATTTTAGGGGCGAGTAATGAGTTTATTATGTTTTTCAATTACTATTTTTAAACACTACAATTTGATAACGGTCTGGAGTCGACCTGATGATGGAGCCGACAGACAATCGAGAGAACTCCTCAGCTGTTTTTATTAACTACCCTATGCTTGTGCTTGATTAATTTAGTACAAACACAAGGTAGTTAATATAAACCGCTGAGGAGTTCCCTCGACTGTCTGTCGGCTCCATCATCAGGTCAAATCCAGACCCTTATCAAATTGTAGTGTTTAAAAATCGTAATTGAAAAACAAAATAGACGCAGTACTCGCCCATAGAATTTTCAAAAGTTCCCCTTGGTTTCCCTTGGGTCCCATCATCAGATCCTGACCTCATGGAAATGGGACCATCTCGGGAGTATACCCTTTCAAACAAAACAAGAATTTTCGAAATCGGTTCACATATGGCGGAGTACTGAAAAAAAAAAACAATCAGCCGAACATACGTACCTCCTCCTTTTTTTAAAGTCAGTAAAAAGTTCAATGCGCACTTTCAATCAAATGATTGTTCAATTGTTTTGTTTTAGCTTGACTCTCTCGTTCGTTAAAATCGGGGAATCCCTGTGACCCTACTCCTATAGCCTCGCACGCATCGCATCGGGTTGCGTTCACAAACTCACTCATACTTACTCATACAAAGTCGGCGCCTTTATGATTCAATATAACTAGTAGGTACCTACTTTACCTGTGGTTCAAAAGATCTGCCGCCGTTTTAACGTTGATCTTGTAACTCGTAAGTAATGTAAACTAAAACCCTAAGTGTAAAATGAAACCATAAACGTGATTAATAATAAACATAAATATTGAGAGACTTGTTTAATAAGCGTAATATAAGTTTTGTTGTATTACAAGGCCTATGTTGCGCCTATTGTACCTACTTACTTATCGATACTCTACTACCAAAAATATAATAATTAAGGTAACAAAAATAATTCAAGTAGAGGTGGTGGCGCGACACGGCGCCCCTATTGTCTTGGCGCCTGTGTGCGCCGCACACTTCGCACACAGGGGCGGCGCGGCCCTGCCACGCTGGATAAATGATCACTTGTCCACAATCTAAAATAAGTAATACATAACAAGATTTAGCCTTAAAATGACCAATCCACACCAACCTAGTGCTTATTATCAGGTACAAATAAGTTTAAACTTTAAAATGTAAGAAATACAATTCAGGTCTAAAACCTCTCTCGTCTTCCTCTATCTCCAGGGTGAACCAGCCTCGTGTAGCAGACTATTCAATCAGCCACCTGGCGCAGTGTGACGGAGAGCGCGGCGTCTGTCCCGACCAGAGGATCGGCGGGACCAACGATGTGCAACTTGGTAAGGGATGGTTTCCAATTTAAAGCTGGAGTAGAAGAATCACATTGTGTTAAACCTCATACAAATAAATACTATAATGATGATTGTACAAAAAAGCAACAAAATGTCAACTAAATTGTTCTAATCTCCTTTCTTATTCTAACAATCAAAATTTATAATAACTATCGTGAGACATGCCAGTAGGCTGCGCGATATTGCCGCGACCGCACACGCTGCTCATGAGGAAGAACCCCTCTGTGGTTCGAAACTAGTAGAGCTTTTCTCAGTATTTTCACTTGAGTAACCCGTGATTTTTAGTCAATCAAAATTTACGCAAAGTGATCTGTTGTTTCAACAGTTCTTTATATAACAAAATATAATGAATAATCCAAGAATGTCCACGTTACAACGTTGTTGTCAACAGTAACTTCTCATAATCCTTTCCTACTTATACGTAATCAAAAACTTTGAGTAAAAACCAAAAATTGGCCCTAACTAACCTTAATTCTTCCACAGTATCAGGCAACCAAAAGAACGGTATAACAACGATCACGTACCGCCGTCCCCTCGCCGCCAAGGAGTCTGTCAGGGACAAGGAGATCCTCACGTCCAGGTCGCAGTCAGTCATCGCGGCCTTCGGACCTCTCAACTCCAGATACGAAGCCAATGCCCACTCCTTCATGGACACCACCAGGAACGACGTGCAACTGGACTTCGGAGCTCAGGTGAGGCTTGTAGAGACATCATTGATGGAGACGTTTTTGGAAAGGTGTTTTTAAGGAATAGAATTTAGGCTTATGAACATTTTCATCAACCACCCCATTACCACTCCTAATTAAAGCGAGTACCTACCTAAACTAACTTAAACTGTTAGGTGTCACCACTCACCAAAAAAGTCATTAAGTTTTACCTATGTAGCTTAGGGATCCATTAAAATTACAAAAAGTTGGTGAAGGCATTATCTATTTCTGTCTTTACTGCTCTAATGTTTCTTAGAGGTTTCCAACCTTTAGAAAACCTTGTCATCATAATGGCGTATCAGCAACTTATACTTTAGAAACCAGGAATATCCACCTTAATTAATACCTAATCCTATGCCTATGTACTCTGTTTTTTATTATGTATTGACCTCTGTGTTGAATGTGTGTACATAAATTAATAAATAAATAAATAATCAACTAAATTGGTGCCATTATTCCAAGAACGAGAACACATGCATCGGTCTAGCAGAGACGGACTCGTCGGGCCCGGCGCCCTGGCCGGCGCGCGTCATCTCCGGCGTCACCAACTTCACCGCGCGGATCGGACCCGCCGCCGGGGCCAGGGGGTACTCGGCACTCACAGGTACCACTTGCTTTATACTTGTCTTTTAGAGACAAGGAAATCTTGGTCAACAAGAAATATTACTTTATATTGTAGTATGAATTTGGGTACACGAGGGACTACCCAAGAATACAGGATACAGAATACAGGATTTGTTTCGCTGGCATACCTGTAAGAAGATTTCTGTTTTCTAAAACTAGAAACAATATTATGTATTGACTCTTACACCCTTATTGTTTCATGCAGACAATGATATTAGTAACGGATTCCTTCCATATGGTAAGTTACGACAACTTAACTGTAGCGTAGTCGATGTTCATGCCCTCGTCTGAGTCATTCTCTTCTTGAAACCCCCTCTAATGTCCTGTTCTGTGCTTTGTCTCTAGATATTTGCGTGTGAATAAATTACCTTTTCTCTCTATTCTTCTATTAATCTTAATCACAATATTACTGCTCTATGCTTAGGTCACCCATCATGGGGCATAGCTTGGTACATCAACGACCAACTCATCCCCGAGCTATACGTGGAGCGAGGCAAGACTTACACCTTCCTTGTCGAGGGAGGAGACGACCGCACCAACCCGGCCAAGTGAGTCGTTTTGCAATAACCTCGAAGTCGAACATCTTAGTTATTTTAACAGATTACCCTACAACTGAGTTACAATACCTCTACATCTTGGGAAGCCATATATCAGCGAGAATATACATACTCCTCAAAAACCTTAAACACGCTATCTTTTCCCACAGGAAGAAGCAAGATTATAAAATATTCTTTCTATCTAAGTTTTCTCTAGTCCTCTTAGGCCATGTAGAAGTTTTTGACGGTTTATAGGAGGTTAATCATCATGCATCTATCCACAGATTCCACCCATTCTACATCAGCGATTCCTCGGAAGGAGGTTTCGGACAGAAGAAAGAGGAAGACCAAAGGAAGCAACGCGTGTTTGCTGGAGTCGCGTACGATAACGAGGGGTACCCGTACCCTACTGCTGGTAAGTAAAAGGAGATAGATGGTGGGTATGTTAATGTTTACGTAGACTTACATTCTTTGGTTGAAAATTTTGGATCCTGAATTTTTTACAACACCTTGAGAACTTCGGTGTCCTAAAAGACACCCAAATACCTTTGCCAATTGCAATTTGATGAAATAATTTGATTACAACTTGATCATCTATACTTAATATACTTCTCTCTTTGTCTAGGTCTAAGTCCATGTTTAAAATCATTCCCTATTTGAGAAAAACCTCTATATCTTGCAGTGGGTCGTTACTGCGAGTGGACTCATAAGACTATCGACCAGTCGGCCGCCTCCGAGACGTTCGAAGATTACATGAAGACAGTGCAACTGGAGTGTAATGATGGAGAGCCTGCCGTGCTCAACTGGACAGTGGCGCACGAGACTCCTGACCTCGTCTACTATCAGGTAACTTCTGCAGTTACCTTTGAATTTGAATTCTTATCACAGGAAGTTAGAAATGGTTAAATCATAGAATCAAAGAAGTTACAAGTGCATTGTCGGCTTAAGGTTCTGAAATGGGGGAGGCAGGGGAGAGGATTCGTGGTGGTCATATTTTGTCCCTCCCAGGGATCACCGGTCGAGCCTGTAAATTCATGTCAAAGTTGCATTACCTCAAGATGTTGGATCATAAATTCCAGTGCTACACGCACAACAACCTGGGCTGGAAGATCCACGTGGTAGACCCGGGCACGCCGGTGCCGGTGGCGGGCGAGAAGCACGCGCGCATCAACGGCGGCTCGCTGTCGGCCGCGGCCAGCGCGCTGGCCCCGCTCGCCGTCGCCGCCGCCAGCCATCTCGCCAACAGGCTCAGGTAATGGGAGAACACGCCGACGACGGGGATAATCGACGCGAGGATAACATATTTACAATATTTGTATCTTTTTACTACCATTTTTTTGTACCGAACATCAATATATAACACTGTTGTGAATATTGTAGAATAGAATGATCTTCAACAGAAACGAAGACAATAATTTTGAATCTGTATTCTGTAACGGTAAGATGACGTAGACAATAATAATGAGTCTGTGTACTCAACTGTCAACTGTGACAATAATGTAGAGTAAGCATAAAATATTTATATTTATAATTTTAAAATATTTTTTACAATATTTGTATTACTATTATTGTTCAACAAATTGTAGACAACATGTATTTATTAGAATTAATATTACGCAACTTATTATATTGTTGGTTATTTTTACTTAGAATAATAAAATGATATTTATATAAAATTAGAAACATTTTAAATAGGCCTAAAATATTTAGGTATTTAGATCTATCTATACAATATTATTAATTGATACATATTCAAAAATGTAGTATTCGTCATTCAACTTTGTCTGTTGTTTTGTGACTCGAGAAGATTGAAGAAGACAATATGAGGTTATATTCGCGTCGATATATCCAAGTGAAGATTGTGATATTGTTGGACGAATTTAGAATGTAAAGAGTATGGAATTCGCCAGTTTGTACAGGTATTTATAAAGAAATGGGTAAATAATGTCAATCTACGTACATAATATCAATTTCATATCAGATGTGGAGCGCGAAAGTGCATTTTTACAATTTAGGATTTTGACGATTATCTATTAGCCCTCTTGTATTTAAGAACCCCTTTAACTTTGAACTCTTCAAGTCCGACCTAAGTATCGGGCCTGCATTTAAAATACCTACATGCGTCGTACCCGCTCAAGTTAAACATCTATTTTACAAACCCAACTACGAGGAAACGTACTAATTGTCATGAAACATTAAAATTAATTGGCAGAACGTAAAAAAAGATAAAAAGTATAACCTGATAATACAGCAGAGCATAAAAATAAATAAATCATCATCATGACAATAATGACAAAATGTCGGTGAAGTTATACCTACTATGATGAGGTATTTTCCAGAGAAATTACAATATTGTAATATAGCCTCAAAACATGTGACAAAAAATGATTCTCAATTTCAGAAAAGAATCAAAACTACTCTATGTACTTTGATTTTAAATAATGAGATCTGTATCTCCTCTAAAATTATATAAGGTGCTCTATAATTATTAGCCACGGCTTTAATGGGAGGTAGTGTTATGTTTACAGATTACAATTGTGAAGAAATTTCGTGCCCCGGACCAGTTAATTACATACAGTAATTAAGTAAACATTGACTACATTCTGCATAATGTGGTTCACAAATTACGCGCGATGCGTCGCTTAGTCAATGAAAACAATTGCTATCTCTTTCCACGTGTACTGAGAATGAAAACGGAAATCAGCTGACTAGTTCGTCACTATCTAATCTACTAGATACTCAATAGGCAGGCTAACAAGGGTTTTAAAAGTGCAATTACTTACCAGGTACGGCATTCTTCCGAAAAGCTGATGTAGGTAAATAAGATTATAAACTTCCCATCACACTTAAAACAGTTTTTTACACACTTTTACAGTTATTTACACACTCTCTACCTACTTATCTACAAAACTGTTGCACAAGTCCACCTTCGCGTTGCACACAAATGAAGGCACGCTTCCAAACATGTCATATCACATTATTTAACGTGTCCGTTTCTCTTTTACTTTGTTTCGCGTTTGATTTAAAAGACGCCACAAGTTATTGTCTCTATCATCGTAAACTCCGGCGGTATCCCTTGTGCTCGCAAGAAGATGACACCGAAAGAACTCTAACACTTCCTCTTCGAGTTCTGATTTGAATTTCGTCGCCTGGGAGTCATTTTTACGTAGCGCGCGCGTATCTCCGACATTGAAACTAACGTCCGGGCAGGCAGGGGTTGACGGGGCTACTGGCGGCCGGGCGGCGCGTGCGACGAGTTTTGCTGGGGTGTGTTGTCTCGTTCTTGAACACCCCGTCATACGCTGTTGCCATCCTTATCAGACCGCTCGGCGCCGGGCGGCTAGGAGCACGCTGCACACCCCCGCGCGCCCGCACCCTCTCCTGCACTCGTCGCACGCGCTGGTCAACCGGCCGCCGGGCAGGCGGGGGTTGAGCTACTGATAAGGATGGCAACAGCGTATGACGGGCGTTCAAGAACGAGACAGCACACTCCAGCCAGCAGAACTCGTCGCACGCGCCGCCCGGCCGCCAGTAGCCCAGTCAACCCCTGCCTGCCCGGACGTTAGTTTCAATGTCGGGGATACGCGCGCGCTACGTAAAAATGACTTCCAGGCGACGAAATTCAAATCAGAATTCGAAGAGGAAGTGTTAGAGTTCTTTCGGTGTCATCCTCTTGCGAGCACAAGGGATACCGCCGGAGTGTACGATGATAGAGACAATAACTGGTGGCGTCTTTTAAATCAAACGCGAAATAAAGTAAAAGAGAAACGGACACGTTAAATAATGTGATATGACATGTTTGGAAGCGTGCCTTCATTTGTGTGCAACGCGAAGGTGGACTTGTGCAACAGTTTTGTAGATAAGTAGGTAGAGAGTGTGTAAATAACTGTAAAAGTGTGTAAAAAACTGTTTTAAGTGTGATGGGAAGTTTATAATCTTATTTACCTACATCAGCTTTTCGGAAGAATGCCGTACCTGGTAAGTAATTGCACTTTTAAAACCCTTGTTAGCCTGCCTATTGAGTATCTAGTAGATTAGATAGTGACGAACTAGTCAGCTGATTTCCGTTTTCATTCTCAGTACACGTGGAAAGAGATAGCAATTGTTTTCATTGACTAAGCGACGCATCGCGCGTAATTTGTGAACCACATTATGCAGAATGTAGTCAATGTTTACTTAATTACTGTATGTAATTAACTGGTCCGGGGCACGAAATTTCTTCACAATTGTAATCTGTAAACATAACACTACCTCCCATTAAAGCCGTGGCTAATAATTATAGAGCACCTTATATATAAGTACTATTATGTATATTCTGAATGATAGAAGAACCACTGATTTAAGAAATTAGAAATTACTGTTTTATCTTATTATAAATTGTTAATAAAATGTATTCACGGAATTTTACTCCGGCTTAATGAGACAATTTTGAAATACTAACTTAATCAAGGTAAATCTTGTAAGAGCTACAAATGCAAATTGCATGGAAATATTGACAATAAAACGTAACAATTATTCATTTATTTTGTAAGTATTCGTCGTGTGCTTGACAATAACAAATATTATAGTAAGCCATTTTATATAAAATAAAAGTTATTTAGAGTAATCTTTTTTCCTAGAGACTAAAAAATAATGAAATGTCGGACAATAAATTTCTTCGAAGATAACTCTAGTATGTATGTACGTACAATATATTTATCACATTCACTTGCTTCCTGAATGGACTTTGTTAATTGACAATAAATAGTTATTAAACTTTTTGGGCTGTTTACATAATGTAAAGTGTAAGTAGAGTAATATTTCTCAATAAATAACGAAAGACAATAATTATTTCGTCTTATTAAAATAAGTTCGCAACCAGATATGATTTACAAAATATGTCGTTAACATTGCTTTTAATAATTAAAGTGTATAATTTAATCACTATGACCTGGCTTGCCTTACAATAACTCAGCAAATAGATAAATGCATACAGGGTTCGATCCTTGCAATTATATGAAAATTATTTTTAATTGTTACGACCTATTCGTTTCCTTAAACCGGTTGTTGTAGATCATATCTGAATGTAAAGAAATATGTATGTAAACTAAAACAATTAGATTGTATTTTACATGTACTTATATTATAATTTAAACGGCAGGTAAAGGCTTTTGCCTTATCATTATCAACCATATTTTAAACTCATAGAACAGTATTACGTTAACGTACATTCCATTCATTTCAACCAATTTCAACTTTGTTTTTGTATAGAGCGTTTGGTACCTATGTAGATTTCGAGTATCTATGTATGAATTAAAATATACTTCATACTATTTTTAAAATTATAAAATAATAAGTACTACACTATGAAGAATGATTATCATCTTGACAGTATAGACACATTTTAAATTTCGTTAAATACCTAATCGTGTAGCCGTTGTGAAGTACCTTATTACCTACGCAGCTAAAAAAAAACTGTGCTCGAGACTTGGCTGGGGCACTGCCGTGCCCCCAGATACACCTACTTATCACCTTCAGGGTTGTTTTTATAATCGAATCAATTTAATATTTCCTAATTCACGCCCTTAGATAATAAATTATAGATAGTTGAAATAAATGCTATAATTATTAATAAACAGTTTTCTGCAGACTGTATTTTTCATAGATTGTGAAAGAAAAACTACTAATTAATGTTGCTACAGTGAAAATTATTACAATATTGGTAGGTTACACGGCAAATTTTATTTTGAAGTACCTAAGTTATACAGTTTTAAGTGTTTAATAGTGTTGAGCCTAAAAGGCATCTTGTTATATTTAATATTTTATATGACCTTCTTTTTTGCTCGTGTATACATTATTTGAAAAGTATGTACCAACTACCAATTTATATTGTATTGTGTTAGGAAAAACATAGTAAGTAATTAAAAATCATTTTACACTTTGTAGTTGTAGATGTTGATGCACAAATTTTTGTTAAACATAAGAATTTTATTGATAGTTAATTAATGTAATAATATTATAGATAATCTTATACAAATTTATACAGTGCAATTAATGATAAAGCCTGCTACATTGTGTGTATATTATTAATATTAATCTTTTGATGATAGAAATAGAGTTTTTAATTTACACATTTACAAATCGTAATTATTAAACAAAAAGATTTATTATTTTTTAAGGATTAAAAAACTGTATTCGTCAAGTAAATGAACATATCTATCCCGTTATCAACTTTCAAAATATCATAGGTATAAAATTTGACTTGACTTAAAAGCCTGCTGGTTGCTATAATGTAATTAATGCATCAAAATCTGTTATTCCAAGTATTTTTTTTTAATTAAACATAGTTTTGGTGCCTTTTTGTTTTATACATTCGAACTATCTTTAATGTAAATTTAATTTATTTTTGTGTATCCCCAAAATTGATGTGTCTTTAACACAATTGTTAAAGTGAATACAAGAACACCATGATTTTACAAATATTGCACATTTTTAAACTGAAGTATAACATAGAGTTTTAAAGCTTTTTACAAACGCTATCGCTATGTGTACATACTTAACATTTTCACGAGTCAACATTGCCGTTAATATTGTGTAATTTATAATAAACTTTGACAATAAAGACCTTTTCCTAAAGTAAATTGTGTTTTATCTGTTACATGTTGAATTTCTTGCGTTTTTTTTTTTCTTTTCCAGGCCTAGCACTTTCCTTGTACGAATGAAACTAATACCTTTTTTATTGGCATTCACCCACCAATAAAATTACTTACCAGTTTCAGAAAAATGGGTTTTCCTAATTTACATTAAAATAATTTGGATTTAAATGTTTGTATAAAATGGAAACCCTTGCTTTGTGAATCTCATAAACTCATAACAATAATAATATTTTTTCAAAGTCAAAGCATTTATTTTAATTAAACCATATTTTGCTACTTTTGAAACGTCAACAAATATAAAATAAATAATAGTCTATCAGTCAGTCCGTCAGTGAAGCTAGATGAAGCTAGGTGCTCATTCCAAAATGTAGATTCGAATGGAGAAGAACGAGCAAGAAACTTCATTCGTTACTCTTTTTTTGTGTGCTGTATTAAGGGAAAGTAAAAACAATAGTCTAATAATATTAAGAATCAATCATTTGAACACGAACAGGCTACACAGCACACACTGATGCTTACTTCCAAGCAACAAAAAACTAAATAAAAATGTTAAAAGAAAAAAATGGTAGATTATTTTTTGCTCCTATGGTAGAAATTAGAATTTTGATGTAGTCGCAACTAATGCGGTCAGTGACTCACGCTTCTTTGACGTATATTTTTATTTTATTTTCAAATAATTCAGTATTATTCCTGTAATATAATAATTAAGTTTAAAGTACTAGAGTTGTGTTTATATTATTATGTTTGTTATATAAGATAAAAAGGTCATAAGCTTGAAGAAAAAGTGATTGTTGTGCGTGTTTATTTTACGTAAGGAACAAAACAAAAGGTTACGATGGCCGAAAAGGTAATTCGTCTGCATTTTATTATCATAGCTCAGCTTTCAGCGTCACACATAGATTTAATGTTGCATTTTAGTTTCATAATTATTATCAATGATAGGTGTACGAGTTGTTACCTTAGAAGTTTAGCATTTGCACCACGATACCTGAGGTTTTTTCAGTATAACATGAAACCTCCTTGCAGCTGTTTGCATTAGTCAGAAAAAAATACACCTGTCTTGTCTGTGAATGGGTCTTCAGTTTGGCATGTAACGCGAAATTTCAAGTTTATTTTTATTAAAGCAACTAATAAAAAAACATTTAATGCGCTAAATTGCACGTGTATTATTAAATTTTTCGAAATTATGGTGAAATTTTGCATAGTTAGACATAGAAAGTTACATTGGTTACTTCAGGTAAGGTAACAGTTGGAAATTAAAACATAGCATCAGTAGACAACCTACTATTCTCAAGAACTTTTGAAGCCAAAGATAACATCACAATAGTTTCAAATGTCACCTAAACCTACTTCTCTTTATAGAAAATTCAAGAGAACCCGCTCCCAGAAGACCAACCTGCAGAGACAGTGGACAAACCTAAAGACATGGTACCAAAACCAGTCCCAGACAAACCTGCCATTAGTGTACCAGTACCAGTGGTCACTGCACCTGAGGTGACTCCTCGGCTGACTACTCCAGTGTTCTCCAAGACATCTCCAAATGACCTATACAGAAGACTGTTGCCTGCCATGCTATTTGTCCTGACTTTTGTAACTGTTATGACTATGTTACTGATCTATATGGATACAGTAGGTAAGTGGCAGTGGTGGTTTTAATTTTTTATTTTATAAACTACTTTATTTCTTGTATATTGTGGTTTATGTGTAATGGGAATGTTGAGACATGGTTTTGCTTTAAAAGGACTTCATGAGAACTGTGTTGTGTAAATGACTAGAAACTATATTTCTAAGTAAAATATTGTAAGTGGTTATAAATATAACTGAAATTGTGGAGGTTAAATCATTTACCTAACATTGTAGCAGGACCCTAACCTGTATTTTTCATTGTAATATTCCTTAAAAAGTTTCTTATGTTAAGTTTGACGTGTCAGTTGAATCTCTCTTTTAACTCTCTCAGAGATAGTACACTGGTTTAGTGCCAACAATCTATTACTAAATGGAACTAAAACTAAATGCATTAAATTTATAACACCAAATGTTGGACATGTGAAAAAAAGGATGCTAATTAAGGGTGAGGAGTTAGGCCCTGTAGATTCTACTGTCTTTTTAGGTATAACCCTAGATGCTAAGCTCCAGTGGGCTCCACATATACACAGACAAATGCGTACTGCCTTCAGAACAGGTCCACCCAAACTGTTGTGGTTCTTTCCTCAAAAGGCTACTACAGAAAGAACTTGCACAGTTCTCACACATAATCTTTTATACATATTTGTCTGGACTTTTTGAGTTTGTTTCGGCATTTCTTTTCAGAGTAGTCAGATAGGAAATGTCGACCTCATCGTTCTCTTGATAAAATTGATGTGTAAAAGTGCTGCCTAGTAGCCGATTTGCAGAAATAAATTCACTTGTTTCACAAGCGCAAATAGTAGCATAAGAAGCTATGCTGCTCGCTTTGATTCTCATACTTAATTTATACTTATTGTTTTTGTGCTACCTCTTATGAAGTTTAAATATACATACAAGCAGCATATAAGTAATTGTAAATATGAATCCTGTGTACCTAATCAAATAATAAACTGAATCAAACTTATGATGATGATCTACATTACAACATAGAGTGATTTGTGTGTATTTGATTGATTCTTACATCTAGATTTGGTACAAGTTATGTCAAGTAAAAGTAATAAATGATGAAGTGTTAACTTAAACTTTTACTTGACTAGCCATGTGATGGCAAGGTAGAATAGGAAACATATGTCACCACCTCTTCTCAGCAGCAGCATACTTTAATCTCTACTATCTACTACAATCTCCAACTTGTCAGTCATCAACAGCTTGTCAAGCATGAGAGATTATGATAAACCTTTCTCGTAGAGGGTGAAGAGGCCTATAAATGATAAATGTACTTTTTTTGCAAATAGGTTGCAATGTAACAATTATATGTTAATATTTTAATCACTAGAAGAGACTACTATAGTTTATATAGGTACTCGAGTCATGAACTTTCATAAGCTGTTGATGATGATAAAACTCAAATAGAATAAATGTCCTATAGCACTGGGCGCCCAGAAGTTCCGCGCGAACATGTCTCGAGACTACGAGCTGGCGAACATAGAGCAGGGCTCCGCGGCGCTGGTGGCCTTCGTGCAGCAGCTGCACCTGGCGCCGCGACACGCCACGCCGCCCTCGCACCCGCCGCCCGAACCCACGCCGCAGGTTGAGGTCATGGACAGACTCTTTGGTGAAATTGTGAGTATCTGTTTTTTGAATTACATACAAGAAAGTTTAAACAAAATTATGATCTGCCAAACTGCGTACCAGTTTGTCGGCAGTAGTTGGGTTCTCGCGGATTCAACAATATTGTTGTATGTCACAATTTTCTTTTGCTTGTATTTATTTTAATGAATAAGCTTGCTAAGATGGACTTAAGATCACAAGTAGAGGAGGAGAAGGAGGTCTAGAAGGCAGTCTTTGTCAATGACACCTCTTTTGATTGAGTGGCAAGTGCGCAGCTGCCAAGCAAAGCGTCTCGGGTTTATATTTAATGTGTTTTATTTGGGGCCGTTAGCGAGCTGAACATCGCATTTCGAGGTCAATTAAAGTTCTATCCTTTTATCAGTCATTGGGAATGAGAATTCAGGAGATGAATGGGAAGGATGGTGTCAGATAATGGGGAAAGATCGCGCTACCGTCTACCTTGTAACATGATTTGTCAAATATGGGTGTTATAATTCAACATATATGTACGTGTTATTAAATAATGTTATGATGTTTTATTCTTGAATGCATGATGCTATAAAACATTTCTATGAACTATACAAGTCAAGGAGTTATTCATATAAAGCTTAGTCAAACCCATTGTAATAAGGTTGTTACTAACACTAAACAGACCAGTTGAATGAATGTGTGTCCTATAGTCATATCTATTTTGATACATGTGTCATATAAAATTGTTCGGATGGTGATGTAGATGTTGTATTTCGGGGATCCATTGTTTTATCCATAACAAAACATACCATTTTTGTCATAAAGGAGTTGTCGAGATGCACATTATTAACACCCACTGGTCGCCGGTTATTAACTCCACGCCTTTTATTATAAGCCTTTTCGGCCATTCTAGACTCTGGTGCAAAACTTATTTAAACGGTCGAAAAGAGAGCCAGAATCGGACCAAAAGAGTCTTGCTTGGCTGCCAAATTCGTAACTGAATGTGTAGGACTTAAAGTAGTGCTTTGAGGCACACTTTAAAAACTCTTCATCAAAGATTTTATTGTTCATACCGGTTCTATAAACGAAACAAATACCTAGAGTAGTAGTTACCTAATTATTGTGTAGGTATATAGTTGAATGTATGTACCAAGTGTGTTAACATTTTAGTGTTTTATCGATTTGCTATTCTCACGCCATCGCGGCATCGCTACAGCTCCTTGACCTTTTAATTTGAGCGTGGCAACAGCTGAATAAAGTATTGTACTGATTTAGCATTTAGATAATTAATGTAGCTATGTATAGCTACTCAAATAACATAACATAACGCCTTTTTATCCCCGAAGGGGTAGGCAGAGGTGCACATTTCGGCACTTAATGCCACTGTACAATCTAACACCCACTTTTCACTATTTATGTTATGAGTCCCATGTAATAGGGGGTGAGCCTATTGCCATATTCCGGTCACATTTTTTCAGACTCCGTGCTACTACTGAGATTTTTAAAAATCCAGTAATACTTTGGAATCGAACCCGAGACCCCTTGCCCGGCAGTCGCACTTGCGACCACTCGGCCAATGAGGCAGTCAGCTACTCAAATATTGGTACCTATTAATGTGTTGTGGTTGTGTGACTATGGACTCTGAATTCCTATGATGTTTCTTTTTGTCTGCCTCGTTGGAGTGGTCGCAAGTGCGACTGCCGGACAAGGGATCTCGGGTTCGATTCCCGGGTCGGGCAAAGTATTACTGGGTTTTTAAAAATTCTCAGTAGTAGCACGGAGTCTGGAATTGTGCCCGGTATATGGCAATAGGCTCACCCCCTATTACATGGGATTCATAATATAAATAGTGAAAAGTGGGTGTTACATTGTACAGTGGCATAATGTGCACCTCTGCCGGTAGGCAGACCCCTTCGGGGATAAAAGGCGTGATGTTATGTTATGTTTCTTTTTGTATCATGAATAGGTTTACCGAACTGAAGTCTCGTCCAAGAAGTAGTCAGATAATGCGGTATAGTGCCGGCGGAGTAGAACATATTAATTTGTCTGCACCTTCCTCTTCCTGCGGCTGTTGCCTACTAAGGGACTAACTACACATTTGATAGAGATCGGGCAGCAGCGCTCTCTGATAAATCTGAACCCATTATCCAAGTGTGGCGATTATAGAAAACGTATGTAGAGGCTTTCTCCAAATAGAGAGGCCACAGTCTAGCAGTGGACTCATAACCTGTCGTGGGCTGTTAATGTATGACTAGTTATGAGCCTTAAGCATGTCCTTTTGGTATCTATATTTTGCCATCGATCTTATGGTTAGTTCAATTGATAGCATTAAGTGTGCAAATAAATGTTATTGATGTATTATTCCAGTATAACGGCACATTCGTGGAGTTCCTCCCCCGCGGGCCCCGGTCGCAGACGTCCGAGTACCTGGAGCGCGCGCGCGGCTGGGACGGGCTGGTGGTGCGCGCGGCGGCGCGGGACTACCTCGCGCTGCGCGGCGCCGCGCGCGCGCTCCACGCTTGTCTCAGCCCCACTGCGCATCCCAGGGAGGTTAGTCACATAACTTACATACTAACACTTGTATTGTACCTCTTCTCTCTTCTAGTTTGGAGTCGGTATATCAGTCTTTGCCTGGTTCAGCTGAATGTCACTATGTATGCCTTCTGTAACCAGGGTCATATCACAAGCTTGGTTACAACCGAAATCAATAACGAATTTAAACCAAAATTTGAATAGCTCAATGTTTTTGACAAAAATTCCATATATAGCCAAAAATGGATCATATGCTAAATCTCTCATCAAATGTTACTCTTATGGGATTTTAAAAGACTAATTAACATCGCTTCCTTCAATAAAACAGGAGAAAACAAAAACTAGTTTGTTAGTGTCCATGATTGGTCCATTCAGAAGCATTTATCTAATGTAATGTGGCGACGTCGTGTGACTCGTGTGTTTGTCACCATTCAATGATATAACTACTTCCAGCAAATTGTGCTTGTGAATTACAAACTGTGTGTCATAATCATAATGTGGGCTGAGTACTCGACACTCTGTAGTGTAACAGTTGTTATGGTTCGTCAGAAGGTGTGAATCTGACAATGAATAGTAACGTATTAGTGGGCTGTAAGTGCCGTCACCATCATGTGGATGGTAATGACGGCGGGTTAGACCACATTGTTGATACTCTACTCCTCTCATGGGTATGATACGAGCTGATTAAGGGACACATTCGACAGATGGCGTGCAGCAGCGCTATGTGATAAATTTGATCATTTTAAACTCGATATCAAACGCACCTGCATACTTGCAATGCGTGGAGGTTGAATGAGAACGTTCTTATGGAAACCCATCGTCACGGTCGGTAGATGTTGTTGATGAAACCACACGGAACTTGTAAGATGGAAAATGTCAGGTTATATTCATATGAAGTGAAGTACTTATTGATTGATTGAAAATAGATGGAGTTTCTTACTTGTTCTTCTGTAGAAAGTGTATTTTAAGTAACGAGGATCTCGTTTCATTGACTGACAATATTTTTTTTTGTGTGATAAGCTGGTAAACGAGCAGACGGATCACCTGTTGGCAAATACTTGGCGTTTCTTTGTCATCTGCTCGGCGCAGAGGTGTGGCAAGCGCGTTAATGGTACTTGGTAAATTGGGAATTTGAAGATTGTTGGGGATTCAAGGATTGGGGAGACTGGGAAGATGGGGGGGGGGGGGCGAATTGGGCTTCCGGTAACCTCACTCATACGATGAAATACAATGCAGCTTTGTTTCACGTCGGTGTTGTGTTAGGCCGTGGTATCAATAATTCCGTGTTGACGTTTCAAAATGGTAATGTAATCTGGGATGGTGGCTCAGTGTGTGTGGTGTGTCAGGTGACGTACGCGGAGTCGGAGCGCGCGGAGGCCGTGTTCCGGTCGCGCGTGCTGTGCCTGCCGCTGCTGACGGTGGCTCAGTGTGTGTGGTGTGTCAGGTGACGTACGCGGAGTCGGAGCGCGCGGAGGCCGTGTTCCGGTCGCGCGTGCTGTGCCTGCCGCTGCTGACGGTGGCTCAGTGTGTGTGGTGTGTCAGGTGACGTACGCGGAGTCGGAGCGCGCGGAGGCCGTGTTCCGGTCGCGCGTGCTGTGCCTGCCGCTGCTGACGGTGGCTCAGTGTGTGTGGTGTGTCAGGTGACGTACGCGGAGTCGGAGCGCGCGGAGGCCGTGTTCCGGTCGCGCGTGCTGTGCCTGCCGCTGCTGACGGTGGCTCAGTGTGTGTGGTGTGTCAGGTGACGTACGCGGAGTCGGAGCGCGCGGAGGCCGTGTTCCGGTCGCGCGTGCTGTGCTGCCCTGCTGCGAGTGGCTCAGTGTGTGTGGTGTGTCAGGTGACGTACGCGGAGTCGGAGCGCGCGGAGGCCGTGTTCGGTCGCGCGTGCTGTGCCTGCCGCTGCTGACGGTGGCTCAGTGTGTGTGGTGTGTCAGGTGACGTACGCGGAGTCGGAGCGCGCGGAGGCCGTGTTCCGGTCGCGCGTGCTGTGCCTGCCGCTGCTGACGGTGGCTCAGTGTGTGTGGTGTGTCAGGTGACGTACGCGGAGTCGGAGCGCGCGGAGGCCGTGTTCCGGTCGCGCGTGCTGTGCCTGCCGCTGCTGACGGTGGCTCAGTGTGTGTGGTGTGTCAGGTGACGTACGCGGAGTCGGAGCGCGCGGAGGCCGTGTTCCGGTCGCGCGTGCTGTGCCTGCCGCTGCTGACGGTGGCTCAGTGTGTGTGGTGTGTCAGGTGACGTACGCGGAGTCGGAGCGCGCGGAGGCCGTGTTCCGGTCGCGCGTGCTGTGCCTGCCGCTGCTGACGGTGGCTCAGTGTGTGTGGTGTGTCAGGTGACGTACGCGGAGTCGGAGCGCGCGGAGGCCGTGTTCCGGTCGCGCGTGCTGTGCCTGCCGCTGCTGACGGTGGCTCAGTGTGTGTGGTGTGTCAGGTGACGTACGCGGAGTCGGAGCGCGCGGAGGCCGTGTTCCGGTCGCGCGTGCTGTGCCTGCCGCTGCTGACGGTGGCTCAGTGTGTGTGGTGTGTCAGGTGACGTACGCGGAGTCGGAGCGCGCGGAGGCCGTGTTCCGGTCGCGCGTGCTGTGCCTGCCGCTGCTGACGGTGGCTCAGTGTGTGTGGTGTGTCAGGTGACGTACGCGGAGTCGGAGCGCGCGGAGGCCGTGTTCCGGTCGCGCGTGCTGTGCCTGCCGCTGCTGACGGTGGCTCAGTGTGTGTGGTGTGTCAGGTGACGTACGCGGAGTCGGAGCGCGCGGAGGCCGTGTTCCGGTCGCGCGTGCTGTGCCTGCCGCTGCTGACGGTGGCTCAGTGTGTGTGGTGTGTCAGGTGACGTACGCGGAGTCGGAGCGCGCGGAGGCCGTGTTCCGGTCGCGCGTGCTGTGCCTGCCGCTGCTGACGGTGCTGCTGGCGGCGGACGCGGCGGCCGCGCGCCTGCTGCAGCTGGCCGGCCCGCACGCCGCGCCCGCGCTCACGCAGCTGCCCTTCCACGACCCGCGCCTGCATCTACAGGTACGCACGCATTATACTACAAGTTTCCAGCTGCCACTCAAAAAAATAACGGCCAATGAAAGACCTTAGTGGTGAACATGAACTGGAAGACGGGAAATTGTGTGGAGTCAGTAGATGCGACTGGCGAGATATAGTTGGATGTGGAGTCCCTAGTCCCCTCAAACTATATTCTGAAGTGGACGTCTTCATGATGGTCATGTTGAAGTAATTCAGCCCTAAATAGAAAAACTATTTTTTTCAGATACAGTCAGGGCTAAAGTTTGTTTGTTCACTTATATCACTGTAGCTGTTAGGGACTGCCTCCACGAACGAGAGAATCGCGACGAGTCCGCCCTTATATCGACGGATAATCTCCACGAACAAGCGATAATTCCGCCGCGTATCGTCGCGAGTCGTTACGGTATCGCGGCGATTCCGCGGCGACTCGTAACGGTATCGCCGCGTTTCCTTGACGCCACGTTGCCAAAGACAAAGCTTAACGAAAGGCAATGCTGAAATGACGCTGCGTTTGACAGCGCGCCCGCCGCGCGCTCGTCGCGAGAGCGCCGCGGTCGCGTCGCGGCGGGCTAGCGACGATGTAATGACGTTTTGCGCGCTCGTTGCCACTCGTCGCATCGCGGCGATAATATCGCCGTGTGGAGACGGCTCCATAGAGAGTGTATAGAAAAACGTGGCACGGCGATAATATCGCCGCGATTCTCTCGCTCGTGGAGACTTCTAAGTTCTTATATTAATTAATAAATAATTGTAGACTCTATTCAAACGAGATCAATTGACTCTCGTCTGAATACTCAGTAGATATAAATAATGATTGCCACGATTTTCTATTAATAGATATTATAACATGTTCAGCACCTTACATACTTTGAACATTTGCATCCTTAGTGAACTTTATTTCTAATATGTTCACAGATGATAGAAGTGGAATTCACAGACGACACAATCCGTAACAAGACGACACAGTTCCTTCTGTCCAAAAACTACACAGTGGCGGCCTCTTTCGACACTAGCGTCATGTACGTACTCAACAACTCCACGCAACACTGAGCGACGCTAGAGGGCGCTGCTGGCACTTTAAACGACCCCCCTTTCTTTATTTCGTAAGTACATATATATAAGATGTTTACTCATGTTCAAACAAATTAATTGATGTTTTGTCATTAATGTATTATTACAATCGATTTTGTTGTTCACTAAATCAAATGTTCAATTAAATAATCGTGATTGTTAATCAAATGTTTCAGATATTGTTCTTTCAATCAGATTTTAGTTTTCGTCACGTTCAAGTGAAATTAAGTGAATGTTATATCAATTGAATGTTAATTGTTCCAAGTGCCAGTGGTGCCATCTGTCGAGCGTCTCGTAATATGAGCACAAAATAACACAAAAAGAGATCTTAACCTGTATTAATAATGATTTACTATTAATTTTAATTTAACGTATCTCAGTGAAGGCGGAAACTTTTCATTTAAATATGTGATTTAATTTAGTATTAATTTTAAGTGATTTTAATTCTGTAATTTGATGTTCATTCGGTCAATTTGTTTTCTGTGGTTTGATGTAGACATAAGGCCGTCGCGGCCAAAATGTTCAATAATTTTGGAAAAATAAATTGAAATGTTGAATATTGTTATATGGGGGTCTCGTTCTAATACGATTTTGATTAATGTTTTAAGCAAAATCGTAAATTTTTGAACCGTATGATATTAATTAATTAAAGTTAAATAAACTTTTAGTTAAAGAGATTCCCGGTCAAAATGAATGATAGTTATATTACCAGTCAAAGTGCCTTAACACTTGGTTTACAACGCAAATTCGAACCTGCACTGTTTTACCTACACTCGTAGATTATGCTAGATACTAATTTGGCTATGAACGAAAGAAAATGTTGTGAATGATTGATACAAGTTGAAATGTCTCAGTGACGTACTTATTTTTGTTGAATAGACTTTTTTCTACAATGCATATTCAGGCGGTGGCATTTAAAGCTCATTACTAAAAATATCACTAAATACAAGAACGTATGGTGTGTCTATATCTCCTATAATATGAAAATGAATCGCTCAATGTGTTGTAACCGCAAATCTTAAGAGCAGCTGAACCGATATCGCTAATTCTTTTTTTGTTAGGTTCGTTATTGTTTGGACAAGATTCTTATGTTAGAAATAGGTATATTAAGTTCGAGAGATCAGTAAAGTGTATTATAATAAGTTCTTTAAATGAATATTATCTCAAAGATTTTGTTTTTCTAAACATTTCAACTTGTGTCAATCATGCGAGCGAGAGGAAGCGTGTCGCACTGACAATAATAAAGACTAATAGAGCTAAAATTATTGATTCCCAGCTACTACATAGTGTATACTAATAATCGCTAATTTTAGAATTATTATATCGAACCCCATGACGCGGGATATAAGGCAATTTCTACACAATTTTAACAGGTTTACACACAGAATCATAGTATAAAATTAATATTAATTGTATTTTGTATACAATGTAACAAATCAATAAATTATATACAATCGGGTAATATAATGTATAATTATGATTGTTAAAATTGTGTAGAGAATTGCTAGAAATAAATAATTGCGTCAGATATTGAAGGTTTGTGCTGTAAGGTTGTAATGAAGGTAGCTTGGTACGCAGCGTTACGCGCACCACACTGCGAAGTAGATAGAATATACAATTTAAATGTCACCTTGACTTATTTACTTACATAGTACGGAACATGGCTTTTAAAGACGGTCTGATGATAAACAGTCACAAGTGTTTCACCGCCCGTGGAGGAATTTGAAACCTAATTTTTGTAAGTAGTCAATAAAATTCGTAAAACATGTTAACCTAAGCTTGTTTAACGACTACTTATGTAACTGTTTGAGGTAAGTCGACTAATTTCAAGCTATGCTATGGGCTCATAGTCATGAGCAGTTTGAGGTAAGTCGACTAATTTCAAATTATGCTATGGACTCATAGTCATGAGCAGTCATTAAAAACAATAGTCTAGTATGTTACTCTTAAAGTTTTATCAATAAAACGTCTATAAATTACTGTTATTACAGCAAGTAAATAAGTCAACGTGATAATTTTTTACTCACAAATACTGAGCGCTTAAATAATGTCACTGCCGTTCAATATTCGTGTTTGTACAATTCCATCCAGCGTAGTTTTATTTTATCTATTATGATAATTATTGTTAGCTATAATTTATATACATACAACTAAATATTATGATTGCCTCAATTTTGATCTGTTTTTAATGAAGCTGCACCATTTAATATTGTAATTATTTCTCAATGTTTGTATTGTACCTGCGACGAAATGTCTCAAACTGTAATGTTGTAAATTATAATTGAAATGAATAATTAATATTTGTATTATTGCATGTTAGTGGTGCACTTTAATATTTATTTATAATTACAATGTATGTATGGTCGTATTTTTATAATGATTGTATTTCGGCAATGATGTACGAGTCATTCCATGTTTCTATTTAAATTCCATTTTTTAATTTTAATTATTAATAAGACTGAATAATATCGAATATTTTTTTCAATCTCAATGAACGTAAAGTATTTATTTTCCGAGTGATTCAAGTGTCGCTTCAATGAAATTAAGTAATTATTTCATTAATTGTATTAATTTTAGCGATATAATTATGTTAATTTTAAGTATATTTTTGTTTAGGCTTAGTTTAAATGCGCTCAATTTTCCACGAATAAATTTTAATGGCTTTAATTTATCTTGTTTTTCTTTATTCAAATATCCAACTTATATACATTAAGCCTTTGACCGCCGACACAAAACTGGTGAAGGCAAATCCTCCGCTGACGTAAGTCACCGGTGACCTACGCGGCGGTTAACGTGTTAATTGCGCCTTCGGGAATTTTATGGAATCGGTGGCAAACGATCATACGGATCACCTGATGGTCAGCAATCAGCGCCACCCATGGACACCCGCAACACTAGAGGAGTAACAGGTGCGTTGCCGGCGTTTTAAAAAGAGGTACGCGCTTTTCTTGAAGGTTTGTAGGTCGTGTCGGTTCGGAAATACCGCCGACGACAGATCATTCCAGTTTTGCTGTGCGAGGCAGGAAGCTACGTGAGAAGCGCACAGTTGTGGCCTGCCAACCATCTATATGGTGGGGATGTATATGCTGTCGTGAGGGTCGATGGCGATGCGGCAGGTATCAGGTCAAACAATTCCTCAGAGCACTCCCCGTGGTATAAGCGGTAGAAAATGCACAATGAAGCTACATCTCTACGCATTGCCAAAGTGTCTAGCCGGTTTGAAACATCCCGACATCCAACAATCCGAACGGCACGCCGCTGAACGCGGTCCAGAGGAAGAAGCTGGTACTGGGGTGCCCCCGCCCAAAGATGAGAACAGTATTCCATGTGGGACCGAACCTGCGCTTTATATAGAAGCAGGCGGTGAATTCGGAGAGATGTTACAAGTTTTGATAATAGATATCGCTAATTTCGCTATATCTATACGTATAATAAAATCGTAGAAAAGTCAAGTCAAGTATTATTTAAAAATAATCTTGAAAAGAACTTGGAGCGTGATCTACAATCGATACTGAAGACAAAAATATGTTTTTTAGAATATTTGTCTGTCTGTTTATCTGTATGTTCGGGATGACCTCAAAAAGTAGGTACTCCATCGATTTACTTCAAATTTTGCATGAATATTACTAAGAAGTCGGGTCAACATATAGGCTACATATTATCACGCTATCATCAGCGATGAAGAGCCCTATACCTACTAGGTACTGCATCAATTCTGACGACATTCGTTACCTTACAATATCCCTTGATAAAGACATTCAAAGGCCTAAATTCTGCCAGAAGTCATTATTCTATGCGGACGAAGTTATGGGCAACAGCTAGTTTGTAATAAAAATGATGAATAGATTAGTTACAAAACAATAAAAATGATGGGGCTAATATAATGATTTAAGACGTATCTGGACCAAAATGTGAAGACACCATCCTCACCCAAAAAAATTAAAGTTCTGTGACCTGTATGTATATGTGTTTCTGCGCGATTTGAACCGATTTTAATGCGGTTTTCAGAAAACTGTTTGTTACACTTAGAAGGTTTTAATACATTATTCAACTGACTTCAAAAAAGGACAGGGTTAAAGTCGGTTTAAAAGTAGTTTATAAAAGAACTGTGTCAAAATGAATTATTAAAATATAAGTACTTGGGTAAAAAGAGAAATTCTCGAGTTTTAGTGTAGTTTTAGAAAAATAACATAATTAGGAGTTGCTACCACAAATAAAACAAATCAATTAATAATTAAGTTTTATTCAATACATTTCATCAACATAGACAATTCTTCCTTGATTCTATACCATGTCGAAACATCCGCCGCTCGCTGAAATAACAATCAGTTACATAAACTAGAACAAAACATTTATAGTGTGGGCTGTTCTCTTACACTCGGTGACACTCCCAGGTGGGGTTGCTATTAAATAAAATCAATTTCTCAATAATAAACGTACTATTACACAAAATAAAATATTTAATTAACCATAATAATTGTGCGAATAATCGTAATAATGACACTCAACACATAATTATACATTTTAAAATAAACATTCTAAATTAATATACTTTTTAAACTAATAAAATTCGTTTTTATCGATTAACTACGAACAAATGATTTAAACCATAATTATTGCTTCATAAATCTCCACAAGTATGATGTAACCAATGGAAGAACTACGAAATTAGAGAATATTTATATTTACATACACCACGCGCGACTTGTTGACAACATCACAAATTACTTGGTCGCAAATATTTTCCGTAAATCGCGATCATTCCGTACATTATTGAAAAATAACTTACATTTTCCTTTAATTCGTGACGAGCCAAACAGTCGCAGCGATAAAACTATAATACAATGATCGTGTAGAAATAATTTTAAAATGAAACTTCGCACCAAAATTACTGCAGCACTCGAAATTTATAAATAAATCTCTTTAATGTCAATCTTTGTTTTCAAGTTGAAATTTAAAGTAATACTTTTATGGATTGATAAATCATTGTTTATTTTTTATAGGACTTCTTTACTAATTAAATCAATAAAATATTCCTAAAAACGAGACAATCAAATATTGATATAATGCGTCTCTCTACGATCCGGTGAACATAAATTTAGTTGTTTTGGTCCCAAACATGATTTATTTCTGACGCATTTGTGATCATTAAATTATAAACTATAATAAATTATAATTGAATACGTTTTGTTTGAAACACTCGCTAATAACTTGTGATGTACCTCACACGACAGTGCGAGTGCTACAATATTTACATTATATTAGTCGTCGAGTATTTCAAACAATATAATATTTAGCTGCCCAACACAACGTTTTTATAAAACGGAATGAATTAAATGCATAGATACAAAGTCAGTGCTGTGAAATAAAGTTTTTAAATGATATTACATACCAATCAGAATAGAATTTAAGTACAAACGATAATGAAAGATATAATTATTACATATACTTGTAAACTCCTACCAGTATACAAATTCATTCCACTTCTTAACTTCTTCCATTTACGTACCGATTTACTGTTGCTCGCAATGTAGGTAGCGCTGTATCTGGTCTTACAGGGAAACTCTTTTATTTAACAACTAATTTTGTATCTGTATCTTACAAAATAACCTTACAAGTTGATACTCTGAGTAAACGTAATTTATCTCATTCAGAAACTGTTGTGATTGACAGTTTGAGCACGTAGTACTTATTTACGTTTGTCGCTGCAAATGACTCAGATACCGAACCCACACTCCGAGCACACACAAGGTAGAGTACGTACATAATGACTATAATACAATATATAATTAATTATTGTAACACTTACATCGAAACACTGTAACACTAGGTTTGACACTACACATTGCTACTCCAAGCGGGTATAAAAAATATTCTATCGTCGAGTGTCTGGTACCCTAGTACACTACAACCTGCTCTCGTGTTCACTGCGGCGATATATTTGGGAATCATTACTTGATGTTGTTCAGAACATGTTGCACTAATGATCTCTTTGTGAATGATAACTCCTCACATTTTCTTATGTATTCGTGTACATAACTATTACTTGATTCGAGGGAACTTCTTCATAGTTTCGAGAATTTTATTTGTTCTGTAGTAATTCATTCAACACGGGTAAACAGTGAGTTAAATGTATTTAGAGGCGCTAGTAGAAGATGCCTCGCCCCAAGTAATAGTTACCCAAATAACTATGAAATAAGTTAGTCTATCTACTTGTAATCAGTGAGCGGAATACTTAGCTAATATAAAACTGAGCTTTCGTACAGATAATTCCTTAGAATGCGGCAGTTACTTCAAATATCATGCGATAACCAAATAGTAAGGGATCTCCCAACATAAATAAATAGAATATTGAAAAGAATTTTCTAATTTTATTAACTTAAATAGAAATAAAATGGAAGGAATGTAGAGTGAGCATTTACATTACATACGGCCCATGATAGCTTACTGATCATAATTATAAACAATATAATTTGAAATAAACATAATACTTTAATAGCAAAAGTTCAATATTTTTCGGAAAGACAATTCTAGTCAGATAGTAAGAACATCACGTTTTATGTTTGCAAACTGAATGTGATATAAAACAAATATTGAGTGTGGACAGAAGAAAGCAAAAGATTAGACAGGACAGTGGCACTGTCGGGCTCGTGGTGTCGCAGTACTTGATATGCCACGGTCGCACCGCCACTACTGACGAGGAAACACTAACAAGGATATAACTCACACTTATGTCGCAGCGACTCCGACATTATGTAGTAGTGAGCCCCTAGTACCGGCCTCTCTAAGCATACATTATAACATCAAGAAGTCAGCAAATCTTCAAAGTAACGTGTGTCGCTACCGACACAGATAATATCAGGCGATATACATTGATATGTACTCATGTACATGTGTGGGCCTCGCCAAATCCATTATAATATCAAATTCGTATAAAAATTGTTTTATTTCACTTTTGCTTTTAATTTCCGAAACCCACTTCGATAGGTACTTTCTAGTTTTGGAGCAATGGTATGCTAATAGTTTATTTTTGCGGTTCGCAAATATAATTTGATTATTTGTAGCGCTGCCTCGTGGCACTATATGGTAATTAGGTACTTTATTGTCAGATTAGATATTCGTTCGTTATTAATCTACTAATAAATTAGAGGAACTTTAGGGGTACCTAAGCGTTTGAACAAAGCTTATACACATGCAAAATAACAGGACATTAAATTTAACTTTCAATGAGTATTTTGTTAGTAAACTCAAGGAAATGTCAACAATTTTCACAGAAGATATGTTTGTTAACTTATAAAGAGGATCATTAAAAGAAGATTAAGTGTTTGTGTACCATTGCTCCAGTAGATAAGGTCGTGTAAGTCAACCATGCTGGCATGCCCCTGCCAGTGCCGTATATCATTGGAGGAATGAGTTCTGGTTGGCGAAGGCAGGCCGCATCATGTTGTTCTGTCCGAGGGGGGCGAAGTTGTTGTTGAGGAGGTTGGTCTGCATCATGTAGCCCCCCATGGGGGGCATGCTGGGGGGCTGCTGGGGGGCGTGTGCCGGGGAGTTGGGGCTCGACTTCAGCTGGTTGATGGAGGGCGCCGGGCCCGCCTTGGGAGAGCGGGGCGCCAGCAGGTTGTCAACGTCGATGTTGATGGCGCCCGTAGTGTCGGCCCACGTGGCGCCCAGTTTGCTGGCGCCCTTGCTGGCGGGGGCCGGGGCGGCGGCGGCAGGCTGAGGGGCGCCGGACATCGGCTGCAGGAGCCCGACTGGCGTCGGTTGTAAGCCTGTAGTTGGTATACATATTATGTTTCATGTTTTTATGAAGTCAATTTTTGGTGTGCGAGAAATTATGTCAGTGATTCGTATGTATGTAGTACCAGAGTATTTATACATTACAAATATATTGCATTAATTAGGAAGCTATCTTTTTATTATTCATGTTCTTTCTACAGTGCGACGTATAATCTCCTAACTGTATGTTGGTATAGGTACGTCAGTACTGAATAAAACAACAACGCTTAGTAATAATATTATATTGACGGTGGGTATATACAGACACATAGTTCAGGAGTCGCTACAATACATCGCAATAACATCAAAAAGTAACACATAGTAACATTGGAATCAGACTGTGGCCAGGCCACCTACCATGTACATTCTGAATGACGAGTACACCTAATCTACTAGGTCCTATACACTAACATATCACTCGGCACTGTCTCCCAGCGTCTTCTCCATGAGTCCGAGCACTTGTCCCGCGAATATGGCGGCCTCGGACTGCGGACCGCCCAGTCTCATCGTGAGGTCTACGTTCCTCAGGCAGTCCACCAGCCACGACCTCAGCTCCATCATGACGTCGAAGAACTCCGCCTTCAGTATGCTGGGCGGCACTGCTATCACCACAGAGGCTACTAGCGACATGACACTGGTCTGTATCTTGGGGTCCGGGCTGTATCTCATGTACAGCACTACCTTCACCACCTCCCAGCTGTACACGGACACTCGCGGACAGTTCTTCGACGCCAGCACCACGTTGCCCAGCACTGAGAGGAACTTTAACAGTAAGATATTGTCCACGTCCTGCTTCAGCGTGTGGTGGTTCAGGGTGAGCTGGTGGTGACCGAACCCGCCCAGTAGTGGGAAGAAAAAATAGTCTGACACTGCCGCGAACCGATTTTTCTTGGCTTTCGCGAAGGGGTGTGGCCGTATCGTGTGGAAGTACCTAGTTTTGTTGATCAGTCTCCGCCTGATTATCTCCTCGGGCGGTAAGTCTTCTTGCGGCTCGCATATTATCTCCGCCGCGGGCTCGAGTTTGTCTCTGTGCGAGTACACGTCAGCTATCCTATTGACAGCCTCGGACAGGACGTCCAACATGAACAGTTTGGTCGCGACGGAGTACCGTCCGATGTCAGTGTGTATCTCGCGACATAGATGCTCGGCCGCCACCTCGGGCCGCTCGCATACGATGGCGACGCACGTCCTAAACTTTATATTATCGAAGTCATCTATTTGGTACTTTGGCTCGAGGTGCACGAATAAATCTAATAATTCGATAACTACTTTAACGTCTTCGTCCCTGAGTTGTTTGTTGACGAGTTGCTCAGCGACCTGTAAGCTCCCTTCGAACAGTTCCACGTCAAGCGCGTCTACGATGAGCTCTATAAGGTCTCGCAGGTACTTGGGATGCTTCCTGGCGGCGGCGGGCACGTCGTTGCTCATGTCGTATGGCATGAGGTCGTCGTCAGAGTCCAGGTCCTCCTGCTTGCCATCGAGCGCATCCAGCTTCACAGATATGATAGTTTTAACAATCTCCTTCGTTTGCTCGGGCCCCTTGACCGCGCAGCTGACCAGTGTGTTGTGTTCCCTACAGTTCTCGTTGTCGGAGAACTTCCGCGCGATGAAGTCCAGATTCCGCTTGAGATGCAAGGGTCGCGGCACGTGGTCGTCGGGCCCGCGGCGGCGATGGTCGATGAGGCAGCGATGTGCTAGCTCCGTGAGGTTCCGGTGTATCTCCTTGCACGCGTCGCTCATCTCCTCGTACTCAAACTTCAGCTCGGCCTTCTTGTCAGTGTCTAGCTCCGCCATAATCCTGAGCAGGGTCTCTATGGTGGCCATGCCGACACAGCGGTACTCTGGGGACAGGACGTCGAGGTGCTTGCCCATGCCTCGGAGCAATATGTTTTTGAGCTCGGTAGTCTTCCACACGGACTTGGTCCACAGCGACATGGTGACCCTGTACCTGACGGCCAGTATGAGCAGCTGCGAGATGTAGATGTGCTCGGCCAGGTTACAGGTGTTGGCCACCCGTACGTCTGCCCACACGGTACTGAGGCGCAGGACCAGGTCGTTCACATTGCTCTCCGAGTGCTTCGTGTACGACAGGTAGTACAGGAGGTTCTCCTGTATCGTCGTGTCCTTGTAATCCTTGGGCTTCACATAGAATGGGATCTTGTAACTGAGGATTTCCTTCCAGTCATTGCTGGTATCGAAGTTGTCCCCTATGACATTGTATATGATCTGTTGGTCCGCTTTGTAGTCAATGGGGCACCGCTTGAGTAGCACTACACACAGATACTCAATAGCCTGTCGCGACAGATGTCGCAGTATTGTCTGTATGAGCTTCCGCTTGACATATCTGTCAGGCCCCTGTGTCTCCGTCCAGCCCGCCAGGATGTCCACGAAGCTGGCGATGACGGGCGAGTTCCCGCCCATGTAGTAGTTGGTGATGATCTTGGACAGTAAGTGAGCGAGACACTTGAGGTTATACTGCGCGCCCAGGTGGAAGCTACTGTCGGACATGAAGTCCATCACTCGGATCACGTGGAACATTAAGTAGTACGAGTAGTTCTCGTGGGAGAAACCCTTCGGGGTGTCGATCTCCAATCTGTTGGCGACCCGCTGGGGCAGCGTGGCCAGTATCTGTACGTAGTCGTCCCAGGCATTCTGCAGCCGGTAGTAGTCCGCCTCCTCGCAGGGTCGGCTGCAGTCCACCATGGCGGTGAGGATGACGTCACTCTTGACGTAGGCGACCAGCAGGTCTGCCAGCGCGTGTCGCGTGGCGCGGCGCGGCTCGGTCCGGAGGCAGGCGCACAGCACGGCCAGCGTCTCGTGCGCCAGCAGGAAGCTGTCCTCCACGGTGTACAGCGCGCGCGCGGCGGGGCAGGCGGCGGCCAGCGCGCGCGCGGCCCGCTGCAGGCGCGCCAGCACCGCCACGTCGGCGGCGGCCAGCGCGGGCCGCTCGGCGCCGCACAGCTTGTGCACGGTGAGCGGGCCCGGCAGCGCGCCCCGCACGCCGCCCAGCGCCGCCTCCACGCGCTGCAGCTGGCTCGAGCTGGTAATGCTGGGCGTCTCGTGAATGACCTGGATGGCATGGTTCATGGCTCGGCGCAAGGGGGACTCGCTTGTTTCGCCTGCAAATAAAAAATTCCTGAAAGTGTCCAAAACTGTTGGGTACATCTTTATTTGCGCGCATGCACTCGATTACGACTCAAAACACGAAGACACCAATACGTAACGTAAACCGGACGGAAGAAGTCACACGTAACGAACGACTCAACTTGTGACAGCGATACCACGCGAGTAATTGTTCCCGTAAAATAAAGGTAAACCAACATTTCATACGCGAGATACTAAAAAAATATAAAACAAACCAAAAAAGTCAAAAAATATTTTAAACTGAAAATAAAAACACGTAAAAAATTCCATTAAAAAAGTATAAAATAATATAAAATGAGTGAATAATTGAGATATATGACAAAGAAATTAATACTTAGGCACTACATACATACATCAGTTAAGTTATTGTACGTGAGCACACGCCAATGCAACTAAATATAAAACTTATGTATTGCTCAATAAAATTAACCTTCACGCAAATATATTAAAATACACAATTATTAAAATATACGCACTAGCTAATTACGTATTACCACTAAGCCTAACGCGTTCAAAATGTAATATTAATTTTTTGCGCAAAAGTAGCGCAACTTTGAAAAACATTCACGCAATTTTGCGCAGTGTTTTTTGAAAAATAAATTGTCTATACTTGAAATTGTTCTAACAATAACTAGTACTTCGCTATTGCTCAATTCACTTATAATGGCATAAGCAGAACTGATTTTTATACCAACCAAGTTGAAAAACTTTTTAATCAAGGAAATATTTTTCGTTACCAATTTAATACCAAATAAGAACTTTTGAAACAGCAGAGGCTTTAGTACGAGTTCGTTTTACGTTCTGATTGCTTAGTTCGTGGGAGCCGGCCAATCAGAGCGTCGAATGCGGTCTCATTTAGATTTCGTTGAACGTAAAACAGACATGTACTCAAACCTCTAAAGGCCTCGAATTGAATAACACAAGGGATCGCAGGGTTAACACCCACTATGACATATGTTTTCGAAAACTTGTGTTAGGTAATTGAGTAAATGAGCTTAGTCAGTAGTGTACAGTGTACCCAGTAGTGTACCGACCTGCAGAGAGCGTGCTGGCGCCCAGCTGCGAGCTCAGCGCGTCCACGGCGTCGAACGAGGCGCTCGGGGGCAGCGAGCTCAGCAGGTCCAGGTTGGACGCGGGGGCTAGGGAAATAAACATACATTACTGGACTGGACATATTTTCGCTTCCAAAACATAGATTTAGAAAGCAGGCCATGGGGCTTCTGACCACTGGGTTGTAACACTAATGGTTGGTAATTAATTACCTATAGTCCATCTGTTTAGGTAATTAACTAAAGGTAAACAAAGAAAACCACGTGACACAGAGATACTTAACCTACTATTACTTCAAATATTTCTCGTGTTTTAATTTTAACTAAATTCACTTTAAAATCGTTCATTTGTCATACACACACATACAAGTACAAATGCCTAAATCGTACAAGAGCCTAGCCTATGGGTCTATTTCATTATTATGTTTAAATAGAAACTATTCTGAATCTGATGTACGGATTTCTTTCTTGTACGGATATCTGTCTTTGGGCCAAGTTTCTTCAATATATTTGAACACATTAATTACAAACGATGAATAACCTAAACTTAAATAACTTAATAACAAAAACAAAACAAAGAAACAAGTTAAATTCAACAAAATAGGAACGCGAGCGCAAACAACGAGAGAGCTGTCAATGGCGCCTGATTAACCGACTAAACGTAATACACGCTACTTTCATTGTCGCGCTACATCTTAGTTGTACTCTTTAATTTGACAACATTATTTTGCTTCGTTCTTAAAGAAACGTTTTGGATACCTGGGATTTTAGGCTCTTTATGGTGTCTATTGTAATGAAATATTATGTTATTTAATAAATGTTATTAAATTAATATCCTCAAGCAGATATATTTAATATGACGGCGCGTTTATAATTTTAAGATTATTATTAAGAGTGAATGTCAACCGGAAGTGTCGCTACCGCCATCTACCGGAAAGTCGGTTGTCATTCACTCTGACGCAACACCGAGAGCTGGCGTGGGGGTGCGGACGGTGCGAGACTGCGACGAGCGAGTTCAGTTCGGATGGAGCAGTCGACCCGTAAGCATCTATTGAGCGCTACGTTTTCGGTGGAGTGTCTAAGTGTTACAGTGATTCCTTACAAGTGTATGTACTTCTGTTACAAAAATTAAGATACCGAATATATTTTGTGATTATTACTAAAGTGTCATTTCATTCTTCTCGCCCGACTACCCACTCCCGAATAATATCAACCATGGAGTCGAAAGGTGTCTCGGATAATCCTGACGTTCCTACATCAGAAGTGGGATTCGAAGGGCATTCACAAAGGGAAGAAAGTAATGCGCACGTAGCATCATCGAGCAGTTTACTGTGCAACATGGAAGCGTTGTTATCTCGCCTATTGAAGACACCGGTTTCGTCGGAAGATACAAACCGCATGGCAACGCAACTAGTGCGGTTCGACCCGGATGAAAAAGATGCGGACATAGAAGGTTGGTGCAAGATAACAGAAATAGTTGTGAACAGCAGAAAACTAGACGGTGCAGAACTTTTGTTGGCGCTCACACACGCTTTAAGAGGCCGGGCAGCTACATGTTTGACCAAATTAAAAACTACACAATTGACATGGATGCAAATAAAGGAGTTGCTCGTAGCGAAATTTGGAAGACCAATGTTACCGCAGGACTACTTCGATGAGATATTAAGATTCCAAATTGGTTCAAAAGAAAGTGCAAGTGAAGCTGCGACACGTGCCTGGAGCATGATTGAGCGTATACCTCGCACGGAAATGGCAGAAGACGTCATCACGGGATTTGTTGCTTCTGTGCTGTGCCGAAAGGATGATTTTATACGACGTGAGCTGCAATCTTGTAATGTATCTACTAGGGCTCAGTTGTTACGAGTTCTCAATGGTATTTCGTTAAAGCGTAAATACGAAGGGCAGGATAGTTATGAATCCGGAGCGAAAAGGAGCCGCTATAACGAAACACGTTTTTCTGGAACGTGTCACCGGTGTGGAATATCAGGTCACAGAGCCGTGGACTGCCGTAAACGCCGCGAAGACCCTGCCGCCAGAGCAACTTCGAAGACAACTGAGCAATTAGTGAAGACGCAAGTTCAGTCGCGCCCTGTCGTCTGCTACGTGTGCGGTCAACAAGGGCACGTTGCGTCGGTATGCCCGGACCGCAAAGTGAACAGGGAGACACCGGCGGTCAGAGAAGTACACCTTTGTGAGCGGAGGCCAGCCACAGGCATCTTTACTACTTCCACGGTGAGCTCGTTTCTTTTCTATTCGATAGTGGTTCTGCCTGTTCATTGATAGCTTCCGATATGGCAATTAAACTACCGGGTACAATAAGTAACGAACTTGTACATCTCACGGGTATAGGAGATAATAATGTAGTGATATGTAACTCGCAGATACTTAGTTCCATCAATGTTGAAGGCATTCAATTAGACGTGTTGTTTCATGTAGTCCCCGACACTGCCATTAGTGAACCAGTTATCATTGGCAGGGATATTTTAGACAAGAATGTTAGTGTCGATATTAGTAACGAACGCATTCACTTCTCTTTACGCAAGGAGGTTAATGTTGTTGAACAGTTGAGTCAATATGATTTCTCTGACATTGATACTGATTTACAAGGCGAGCATAGAATAGCGCTTATCAATTTATTACAAAAATACCGCGAATTCTTTATAGAAGGCATACCAATACGTCGCGTTTCTACAGGCCTCATGCGAATAGAGTTAATTAACCCGCATAAGACTGTACAGCGACGTCCATATAGGCTATCACCGGCAGAAAAGGATATAGTTAGAGACAAAATACAACGCCTCTTAGAAGCGGGGGTCATACGTGAAAGCACGTCACCCTTTGCCAGTCCGATATTACTCGTTAAGAAGAAAGATAATTCTGATAGAATGTGTGTAGACTACCGCGAGCTTAATGCTAATACCCGACCAGAGCATTACCCTTTACCGATAATCGATGAGCAGATAGATCGTCTTCACGGTGCTTGTTATTTCTCGTCATTGGACATGGCATCAGGCTACCACCAGATTCTGATGGATCCTGAGGGAGACAGCGTAGCTCGTACAGCCTTCGTAACGCCTGAGGGGCAATACGAGTTTCTCGCCATGCCTTTTGGCCTAAGAAATGCCGCATCAGTATATCAAAGGTGTATTAACAAAGCTCTAGGTTCACTAAAGGATACGGTGGCACTAGCTTACATGGATGACGTTCTTTGTTATTCTGATGATATCACACGTGGTCTTGAGCGTTTAGATCTCACATTGAAAGCCCTATCTGCAGCCGGTTTCTCTTTAAACATTCATAAATGTAAATTTATGAAAATCGAAGTGAATTTCTTAGGTTATGTCGTAAAATCAGGTCAAGTAACTCCCAATCCTAGAAAGATACAAGCACTAACTGACGCACCTACTCCACAAACAGCTAGTCAAGTTCGTCAATTTTTAGGTCTCGCATCATATTTTCGACGCTTCATTCCAAATTATACCCGCTTAGTGGGGCCTTTATATCCCCTTACAAAAATTAAGGGTCCAATAACCTGGACGAACCAACATAGTAGGATTCACAAAACCATAGTTAACATTTTGACATCAGAGCCAGTCTTGACGATCTTTGACCCCAAATCCCCAGTGGAACTTCATACAGACGCTAGCTCTGAAGGGTACGGCGCTATACTAATTCAGCGACGTAATAATCTACCTCATGTGATATCCTATTTCAGCCGTCGGACAAGTGATACTGAATCTCGTTACCACTCTTATGAGCTTGAAACCCTGGCCGTGGTCCGAGCAGTTGAGCATTTTAGACATTATCTGTATGGACAACACTTCACGGTCTTCACGGACTGTAATTCGTTGAAAGCGTCTAAGTCTAAAACCGACCTCACACCCCGAGTTCATCGATGGTGGGCCTTTCTCCAAGCTTACGACTTCGACATTGTTCATAAGCAAGGAACTAGCATGGAACACGCCGATTTCCTTTCCAGAAATCCGCTCGACGAATCTCCTGTGAACTATACCCAAGCCAGTCTATCTAGGAAGAATAAATCAGTCCAATTCGTTGAACTCCACCAGGGTTGGTTGATAGTTGAACAGAAAAGAGATAACGAAATTCAGGACTTGATTAACAAACACAACAATAAAGAACTTCCTGAAGCCGTTTCCCATACCTACGATGTTCGAAAAGGGGTTCTTTATAGGAAAATCGAGCGTCACAAAAGTAGCTATTGGCTCCCCGTTATACCACGTTCCCTTACTTGGACTTTAATCAATCACATCCATACAGAGATTAAGCACCTCGGTGCTGAAAAGACTCTAGACAAACTATATGAGCAGTATTGGTTCCCACAAATGTCCAAGCAAGTACGCAAATTTGTAGATTCTTGTATAGTTTGCAAAGCTTCGAAAGGTCCGTCAGGTGCTACCCAGATAAGACTCCATCCAATCCCTAAAGTCTCCACCCCTTGGCACACCATACACATTGACATTACGGGAAAACTCAGTGGTAAAAGCGATCGGAAAGAATATTCATCAGTAATTATCGACTCTTTTACCAAATATGTTCTTCTTGAATACACCCCCTCATTAGACTCAGCCTGTGCTATCAAAGCTATAAAGAAAGCGGTCTGCCTTTTTGGAGCGCCAAAGCGTGTTATAGCCGACCAAGGAAGGTGCTATATTAGCAGAGAGTTTAGAGATTTCTGTAAGGACCATTTTATAGACCTCCATCTGATCGCTACAGGATCTAGTAGAGCAAATGGCCAGGTAGAACGTGTAATGCGCACCCTGAAAAGTATTCTTACCATGATCGAGAATGACCCGCACAAATCTTGGCGAGATGAACTTCAAGATGTGCAATTAGCTTTAAATAATACGCGGTCTAGGGTAACTGGATATTCACCCATGGAATTAATGTTTGGGATTAAAGCTCAATCTTTGGGCATGTCAACAATTGCATTCGATTCTGACCCCGAACCCCGATCAGATTTAGACGTCATTAGACAAAACGCCTCTGAAAATATTGTAAAAGCAGCCTCGGCCGAAGTAGAACGGTTTAATCGAGGCAAAGCAATCGTGAAGCCGTTCTCTGTAGGCGAGTATGTTTTTATAAGAAACAATGAGCGCAATCAGACAAAACTTCACAGAAAATTCAAAGGTCCGTTTTTAATTACTAAGATTTTAGAAAATGATAGGTATGAGCTGAAAAACATTGATGGATCTAATCGTGCTTATAAATACTCTCACGAAAATTTGCGTTTGGTACCCCGGGCCATAAAGGTCTGCTAGAAATAGCCACTTCATTAATCAATGATGATAATGAGGCCGAGACGGCGGTAGAACAGAACGATAGTGATGTTACGCCAGCATCAGATAATAATGAGAGTGATAGTGACACACTATCGATCTCCAGCGGTCGTACTAATACTGCAAGTTCAGGAACACTCTCGGCATCTGAGCGTGAAGAATTTCAAGGTTAGTTATATCAGTTTGATTGAAGCTGTTAGACTTAGTGCATGAGATTGAGATCATATGAGATGATGGGTACAGAGTCAGTTGTCCGGGCCACGTTGTCAAATGAGTTGATGACTGGTTGAAGGGACGCTGCAACTCTTAAGTCAGGAATCGTCATAGGAGATGACGAATAAGGAGTCAGTTGTCCGGGCCACGTTGTCAAATGAGTTGATGACTGGTTGAAGGGACGCTGCAACCCTTAAGTCAGGAATCGTCATAGGAGATGACGAATAGAGAGTCAGTTGTCCGGGCCACGTTGTCAAACGAGTTGACGACTGGTTGAAGGGACGCTGCAACTCTGAGTCCGCCGTATGATTGCCAGTAAGGCTAGGTCGTCCGGTCCAAGTCATTATAGGAGATGATGGCTGGTCGAAGGGATGCCTCAGCCAGTTTTAGCTTGCATGAGGTCAAGCGTATCAACTTTGCATATGAGTGTGGGTAGAATCGTTAAGAACAGTGTCCATATTGTCAGGATAGGACGAGCGAAGTGAAAGCAGTAATCCCATGGAGTTTTATTTTCCCATTGTTACAGAGTAACTCGACGCCAAGAGAATAAGAGCAGCACGAGGACGTGCTAATGTCAGTCTGGCCGTGACGGCGCGTTTATAATTTTAAGATTATTATTAAGAGTGAATGTCAACCGGAAGTGTCGCTACCGCCATCTACCGGAAAGTCGGTTGTCATTCACTCTGACGCAACACCGAGAGCTGGCGTGGGGGTGCGGACGGTGCGAGACTGCGACGAGCGAGTTCAGTTCGGATGGAGCAGTCGACCCGTAAGCATCTATTGAGCGCTACGTTTTCGGTGGAGTGTCTAAGTGTTACAGTGATTCCTTACAAGTGTATGTACTTCTGTTACAAAAATTAAGATACCGAATATATTTTGTGATTATTACTAAAGTGTCATTTCATTCTTCTCGCCCGACTACCCACTCCCGAATAATATCAACCATGGAGTCGAAAGGTGTCTCGGATAATCCTGACGTTCCTACAAATATTTATTAAGAAATAAGTGAAAAGGAACAGAATCATAACATTTAATAGAGAAAACTGTCGTAAAAAGGGAAACAATTTTATTTTCTTATGAAGTATTTTGAATCATGGAAATGTCAACTATAAAGAACTCTTTTTATGGTTTGTTTACAAATAGTTAACTACCTAAACAGATGGAGTATAGTTATTATATTTTTGTTAATTATAAAATTTGTACAGTGGTTTTTTGTTGTATCTCTTTGTGTGTTATTTATATTTGGAAAACTCTAATTTTATTATTTTAAGATAACACTACCGTAACTCGGTCATTATCGCCGTTTGTGGGCAATGGTTTTGGTTACATATTTACTGTAGTTGTTGCAGTGTAAGACTTTTTATGTAAAAGTTTAATATGTAACTGTTTGTTGTCCCTTAATAAATAGATAAATAAATCAATTATTCATTTGTTTATTATAATACTTCTTATTCATAGGAAAACATTGAAGTGTCTAGACTTACACCTCATTGAACATTTTTTTCCACAAACAAAATTAAAATATAACAAAATTATATAATAAGCTCAACTTTTTCATGTTGACCTCAAACCCAACATTGGGGCGACTATTCTACCTGCAGATTAGCTAACAATTACAATACGGTACTTGACTGACAGGAAATGTGAAAAACGATACTTTTCTATGAATTTTGTATTGGATTGAAACTTATGACGTCATCATATTTCTGCGTCAAACAGCATACTTATTTCCTTATAATTAGCGAGAATAAATCAAAAAGTAGATAAATTGTCAAATCAATGGATTAAAGTATGATTATTAATTAATTATTTATTGCATTGAAAAGTTGAAACACTTTATTTTAAACCTAAGAAACTAGCCAATTGTAGCAGTGACATTGACATTGACATTTGTCCAGTTCCAGGTGTCCATGGGCGACGCAGATTGCTTACCATCAGGTGATCCGTCGAATCAAATACCATAAAAAAGCTCCTTACAAAATGTGTCAAAAATTGGTCTTCAGTAAACAAATCTACACATTGAAACTGAACTCCTGAATGTGTAAGATTTTGTAAGAAGATAGACGCTGATGAATTAGTTTTAAGCAATTATAATTGGTGTAAAGTAGTATAGATAAGTATTTTTTTTAACTGTATAATGTTTTAGCTTGTGCTGTAAAATTATGCATGTGTTTATAAAATAAATAGATAAATCTTGACTTTGACGTTTACATACATTATCTACCAGTGGTGTATCTGAAAAATTCTGAAATGTTTTCTTACTTTTGAATGAAAATTTTGCAATGCAACTTACCCGAAGCTGGTGCACTGTTGTTACTCGAGCTGAGCAAATTATTGGCCGGCGTCATCAGATTGCTGCCGATACCCATAAGGTTATTACTGGGCGCCATGAGGTTGTTAGAGGGCGCCATTAGGTTGTTAGAGGGCGCCATTAGGTTGTTAGAAGGCGCCATGAGGTTATTAGAGGGTGCCATTAGGTTATTACTAGGCGCCATAAGGTTAGGAGTGGGCGCCAGGTTTGTTCCAGCGCTGAGCAAGTTGTTGGAGTTGTTGTTGTCAGTGAAAGCACTCGAGAAGTCTGCGAATCCTTCGTTGTTGTTTGCTGGAGGACCGAACGCATTTGTAAAGTCGCCAAATTCATTCGATACTTTGCGAGGAAGGGGTTCTTCCGCTCTGAAATAACCAAAAAAAGAAACTTGTAATGTTTTTGTATAATAACTATCATAAGATGTATGATATTTAAACCATATTTACGGTTTGTTTAACGTAGTGCGATTTCACGTAAGTTTTGACTATGAGCCCCAAAGTATCTCGAAAGTAATCGAGCGTCCCCGAATAGTTTAAGTTAACGGTAAAAACTATTAAAATGTCGAATTGTAAATTATTAATGATATAAGCTTTAGGGATAAATTTGAATTGTGTCATGAACAATGAAGAATGTGTGAGTAACCTAGGATCGAAGTCGTCGAGTATGTCGTTGTGCGGCGAGTGCGTGGCGGGCGCGCACGTCTTGAACAAGTCGTCCAGCAGCTCCTGCGACTGCGCGCCCGCGGGCCCGCCCACCGCGGGGGCCGCCGCCCCGGGGGCCACGGCGCTACTGCCGGACTGACCGTACGTCGCTGCTGCACCTGCGTTGTGGAAAAAATTGATGGTAAATATAGATTGATTCGGTAACAGACAGTTTATCAATCAATGAGGACAACTTTAAGCTTAATACTATTTAACTTTTTAGATTCAGGATGAACTGAGTACTGTTTGTACACTGTAATGTTATAAAATGTGTTCAAAAATTATTTTTTCAATATTGAAAATAGAAAGTAACTTGCCATGCATTGTGACTTGGAACTTGGCATGCGGATGCCTGCATTTCATAGTCGACATTGTATTAAAAAATAAGTTAATAAGAATGATGTACAGTTAATATGAGTACTTATAGTAGAATAATTACATACCAAGGTCAATCTTCTTGACAGGCGTGCTAGGTTTCTGTTTGGCGGGGCTCTTGAGATTGATGCTGAATGGTTTGTGTCCCCCCCTGTCCCCCCGCTCCGCTCGCTCCCCCGGCTCCAGGGAGCGAGCGCGAGGGGGACTCGAGCTTACTACGTCAGAATCGCGGTATACGTTCTCTCTGCAGAGAAGAAATTTAGATTTTAGTTTAAATAGTGTTTTAACATTATCACAGGGCTTTTGATATGTGGTTGGAAACAATCTGATGATCACATAATACATACAACTTTAAGTATTTTAAAACAACACCTTTATCCCTTAAAGATTTAGGAAATGTACACATTAAATATTGGGCAATTTAACAAAAATTGAAGATGGAACTTAGCCTTACTTTTTCGAAAAATCTTTGATCAAAAACTGAGACAGGCTACAAACAACAAATATTGTATACTAACTTGTGTGGCCTCCTCTCACGATGATGTCCGTAGTCTCCGTCCGAGTCCTCCCTCTCATATTCATCCTCATCGTTCCTCTCTTTTGGCTCCTCTATAACGAAAAATAATAGATATTAGAACAGGAATACTATACTTAACATATTTAAACTGTCAAACACCGCAAGGACACCTTTGACCGCAACCTATTGTACCTTAACCCCTCGAACGTTCTTATGAGCACCCGGTGGATCATAAGAAAAAATGCTCCAAGTGTCACGTGTGCACCCGTTGGATCATAAGGAACGCGGACGCTCGATGGGTTAATTGTGTCTATAATGACGGTACTCAAAGGGTTAATTTAAATAACATATATTTGATAAATATTACACAAACATAAGAAATAGGTACACATTTTTACTGGGACCGAGACTCAGTCAGTACAATTCTAGACTCTCCATACTGTTTTTGGTGAGTATTGAAAACCTGAAAACCCTTAGTCACCCTTGGTTAATCCTCCTGATCTAGTCACATGACTTTCCTCTCATGAACAGTAGTGGCATATGCATGAAGAGTGATATGTAGCGAGGTATATTATGTAGTGACTGCCTCGTTGCCCGAGTGGTCGCAAGTGTGACTGCCGGGCAAGGGGTCTCGGGTTCGATTCCCGGGTTGGGCAAAGAATTACTGGGTTTTAAAAAAAATCTCAGTAGTAGCACGGAGTCTGGAATTGTGCCCGGTATATGGCAATAGGCTCACCCCCTATTACATGGGACTCATGACATAAATAGTGAAAAGTGGGTGTTACATTGTGCAGTGGCATAATGTGCACCTCTGCCTACCCCTTCGGGGTTAAAAGGCGTGATGTTATATGTTATAATGTAGTGAGGAGGAGGTGTATGTGGTAAGTAGAGCCAGTACGGACCCCAGTTGGTGGCGCTGCGGTCGCTGTACTCGCCCCAGCCGGCCGAGCTGCCGCGCATGCCCATCACCACCGCGTCCGACGACATGCCTGCAACAATACGATATGGATTATTCTTTTATTTCACACTTCTTTGATTCTGTTCGCTTATTACCATTTGACTTTGGAGTCGGCAAAAAGTTGCAACTGAATTTGGCTAAATAACAATAATACATGGAGCAATAGTAATAACAATCGGGACTTCCGTATCTTAATTGATTACTCCCCTCTCCAATCTCCCTAAGCCTCCAATTGCCAACAATTATTAAATTCCTAATCCCCAAAAGGCAGGCAACGCACTTGTAACGCCCTAAATAATTAAGACTCCGGGCTAATAATTTGGGAAAAGACTACAAAACACAGCCACTGCGGCAATAAACTACATACCTATATACTTGTCCTTGTTCTTCTTGGCCTTCTTCCTCTCCTCGCGCAGTTTCTCATCGTCCTGTATGAAGTCTATCAGTTCTCGCACTTTGTGCCTTATGTTTATACCCTGAAAGTTTATTGTTACAATTAGAAAAATGCATGTATATCTATGTTTTGACGTTTGCAACTTAACATAGGCGTTTTTCACAACCAACAATGCAGTCTAGAATATCTATTTTTGTCCTGAAAATATCAATAAACACTGTTTTACCAGGACATCGAGTTAAAAACATCTAGAATGCCAGTATTAAGTACCGTAAAGTATCTTACCTGATCTTTCCCAACATCGTCGACGTATGTGTAGTTCTCGAGTGAGCGGAGATCGTATATGTGTTCCCGCGCCGACGTCACGACGCGCTCCGACCCGTTGCGCACTAGGTAGCTCAGGAGTAGCAAACACTGCAACACAACATACATACATAAGTGTTGACATGCTTTTTATAGGTAAAATCATCCAATGTTTGCTCCCACCCTGGGTGAGGCGAGAGAAGTGTCAGAATCTTACTGACTAAAAACCCATTCCAACTCCTGCTATGAACCGACCAAAACACGTAGCGTAGCGGAAACTCAGCCTGACACACTCACGACAATCATAATAATGATGACTAAACAATTACCTATTATGTATTAATATTAATGTGTGATCTACAAATTGTTGAACCACATGTTTCCACTTTCCAGGGACACGAACGATACGAACTACTGATAGTTAGACTGTTCTCAATGTGCTTAAGACTAGAATGGTAATATGTAGACATATTATGGGTAAAACAAGGGAGGAGTATGTGCGGAAGACCTTAGCGGTACTTAAACTTGCTACAAATATATTTCTGTCAAATTAAAAACAAAGAGAAGGGCTACACGAGCTGAAGCATTAGGGTCGCAATGACAAATACATTCCACGAGTGTCGAGAGTTGTGTGGACTGCTACTTATCAAACTATGCGAAACCAAGTTACTGGGACCTCGCATTGTATGGTCTTGCCAAATGTTCAGCGGTCCATTTATACTGGTATTGTATTACTCGACGTGTAGTCGTGTGTACAAACATTGGACGATCTCCAACAAGTTACTAATGAGTTTTACAATCAGCTACAATGACTGCGCTTAATCTGCAAACCTTTGATAATTTGTGTTATCATTTATATCTTATGTTTAAGTCTTTTTTGGGTTTTTTAATGATAATTATAATTTGTTATCAGTAGTTATGACTTGCCCCCAACATAAGATTTATTTATCATATCACAATTAAAATAAATCGCCCGTGACGTCGGTCACTCGGGGACAATAGTATATGGAATTAATCATTCTCTTTACTCAGACGTCATCATAATATTACCATGAACTGCGGTATAGTAAACCTACTGCACGGTTGGCGCGGTGGCTGGGCAACTGGCAGCCACACAACTGTTTGTAAACGCACCCACGACACAAGACAAAAGAGAAGCGTGGGGCAGCGTTTTAAAAAAAATAAGAAAAGAAGAAACAGTTCCTTAATTATTATTATTATTGGTTTGACTTTTATCTAGTACAATTTAGATGTAAGATCATTCTGTTGACGACAACAAATTAAATAGTTAGATACTTTCGCATTTATAAATAAAGGATTTCACTTTCATTCACATAAATTCGCTTGCTCCTACAGCTGGCACAGTTCATTTTACATCTCCTTTCAATGAAGCGTGTGTTGTTGTGTTGCCATTGGTCACACTACACCGTACATAATTACCTGGTTGGTGGCACAGTGGCAGTGAATGTAATGAGTAGCGTATCGCGGATACCAGCAGGCGGGCTGTTATCTACGTAACCATAAGGTGTCAGTGGAGCGTATTTTAATTAGGTACTTGGGTCTCTTCATTGAGATATTTTTACATAGCGTTTATAATGTACAACTACTTATTTATCTATGGTGTGGGCATCCATTTGGTACTTGTATAATTCACTACAATGTTATGTCTGTTCTATAATAAGGGGCAAGCCTCTTGCCATAAACCGAGCATTAAATCCAAAATCTATGCTAATTCAGAGATGTTTCTCACTTACTTTTGTTACCTATACTGAAAATGGGTTAGCGTTTGGTCCCTATCTCTCCCAGTACGACGGAGCACGCCTACCCATCACAACTCAACCACAATCAACAGTAGTTGCCCTTCTACCTTCATAAATAGATATCAATGTTACCTTGTATGTGCGTCGCCAATGCGAGCGGTTGTCGTGGAGCATCCGCCGCCACAGCATGGACATGACCTCGGGGAAGTGCTCGTACGTGAAGGTGGCCAGCGCCAGCTCCTGCATCTGCTGGCCGGTGGGGCCCCACGCCTCGTCTGACGTCGCCTCGCGGACCTTGCCTTCCACCTCCGTGTAGTTCATGACTACATTTGTGCTGTAACAAACGTTATGCTGTTAGCTTTCGCTAAAGGAATAGGCAAATAGCTCCACTTTAAATTTTTTGTTGACGTTCAAAAGTACCTTCCTGGTCTAATAGAAATAAATAATTTTGCTTGACTTGAAAGAAGTTTTTAGAGTTAAAATGGACCTTAGATTAAAGTGTGATTAAAATTATCTTAAAAGAATTTCAATGAACACATTTCTCCAACTAATTAGCGTGACGAAAAACTGATTGAAAATAGGGTTTAGTGATTGACGGTATAGATCAATTTTGATAAGATTAAGAAAATAGTTGCATAGCCCTTACATAAAAAATCTACATAATCCTAGCAATAGGTAGTATGTTTATTGTGTCAACCAAACTGGTGTAACACATTCATCATCATCATTAACAGCCTTTAAATGCACACTGCTGAGCAAAGCGTCTTCTCACACGGAGAAGGTTTGAGGTTCACATTGCAGCTGGCTTAATTTGCCTAGAAACATTCCTTATTGTATCATTTCGAGAAAAGAGTGCAGCAGCACTATTGTTTCAGTTAAAAACAACAACATCTTCCGACTTTCGCATATAATGCAGCTATTAATGAGCAACACAGATCTAAATGAAGCGATCAAACGCCCCACTTGCATCAGAAGGTACCACAATTGTCAATCAGGGACAAATAAATAAAACTTGTTACGATAACAAATTAAAAGTGCTCTATCAGTATAAGTGCAAGTGCTCTATCAGTGGATCCAATCACTTTACGGCCGAGTAAAGACATGCGCGATTTTTGATAAAAACATACTTTCTGATAACATTATATCTGCATTATAAATAACAAAATAACATTGCGTGTAATTCTTAGAGGTAGATAAAGATCAGGTATTTATCGTTAAGTACTTCTTGTGCCATAGTTCGACCTGCTAATACAGGTTTAGTATCAGATAGCTAATAACTGCAAAATCCTATGGGGCCGGATTTCATCTTGATATGAGTACATATTGGAGATAAGCTACGTCTCTTGTTCAGAACACATGACGTGTATCACCTAGATTCTAGACAATGGTTAGTTCGCGCAGTCGCATTGAGGTCTGGACTAGTCTATTAGTAGCCTGTCCTAAATTCTTATATCTTTGGAAAAATCAAGCTATGAGCACGTTGCTTAGGCAAAGACTTCATGATGGACAACCTCTAATATTTATCTAAATTTAACTCAAAATCATCTTTAACTAAAAATAAATACATAGAAAACATTTTTAAGTCTTATTACTTAATATTAAAATAACTGGAAATATAGAAAGTGTATAGAGAGCACTAATCAAATTGTATTAAAGCATATTCAAACTTGATATTTGCCGCCCACGAGACGACCACCACGTGGGCTCAACTTTATTTACAACGACAACTTTGAAGAAAGTAGTCTAACCTTATTGCCACTCCTCAGTGTCACCAGCTCACACACTGCACAGATTCCTCCCGCGAACGTTACGGACATTGCCGTCATTTATGCGAATAGCTCCTAAACCGGTCGCATCCAAAGGCATTTTACCACAAAAACCGAGAATTTAACACTAAATAAATGCAATAAAGAACCGAGGTCATAAATCACGTAAGACCTGATTAAGCGTATTCATTAAACTGCTCGGATATGGGAGTTATTGATTCAGATGGAACTTATGTTACTAGGGATGCGTAGATATTACAAGTGCACCAGTACAGTACACCTGCGCTATCCGAAATTGATTTATGCGCGGGACGTCACGATTGCGAAACGATTCCTTTTTTATTTATTGATGGCGCCATATTGTATTGTATGGAACTGTCGGTGCATCATTGTTCAATGGATGGTTAAGGGTTCATGTTTTCATTTGGTTTCGTTTGATACACACATGCCACTTATATTGGTCAAATTAGAAGATATCTTAGAATCTGGATTCTTACACATTTTACAGTTAGAACGACCGTAATCTTTGAAACATCGGGACATTATAAAGCTAAAGATTGTATATTCGGTTTTGAGAGTAAATGCCTATTAAACTATCAACATAAATGAAAATATAAGAAGGAGTAATTAACTTGTACGGATAGTAACATCCTGAGAATTTTAATGATCTCAAGTTTTCCGAACTAAGGCTCGAACTCATCTCATTTGTTTTGGTCATTGAGGTCAGCAGTCACAGCAGCCTCATTTGCAACAAACGTCATCATTGAACGCTAAACGCCAATTTTTATCATCATTCATCATTACACATTGTGTAGTATTTACATTTATTTAGTGACATCATTTGTACATAGACACACAATGAGAGTAAAAAATATAAGTACCTAAGTATAAGACCAGTAATAAAACGCAATTTATCGAGTGTAATAAAATGAGTTTTCCTTTAACATTTCAGTGATTTTATCACACGATGAGTTTAATTTCTAATATTCTTTTTAATTACCTACTCTGTAATTTGATTCTCGTTAACTCGACGAAGAATCGATTAGAATCGATTTTTCAACTCGTCAGTTACTGTAATTGGACATTTTCCTTCCTTGTGTGCAGACAGGCAAAATAAGTAGTTTTCAGTAATTACATTACCTGCTGTTTATTACAAATAAATAATGCTATTTATAATTATAGTAATTAACATTTAAAGATTTGGCACAATTTCGTACTATTTGTTCGAGAATAGATAAGTAGCATGACTAGTTACTCCCAAGGGAGCGTGCAGTATTTCAACTTTCCACTGCACTGTGGTGTGATACTTTCTTTATGAGTAATCAGGGCTTATTTGGAAGTAAAAAGCAATTGAACCATACATACATACAGCTCTATAGGTGAAGGTGAAATTGAGAGCTTATTATGGACGGCTGAGTCTATAGCCAGCCATATAGTATAGTAAATACCAGGGGCTACTCCAGTCTCTGTAGTACTTAGGGCTGAGAATGAGGAAAGCGTGATATGAGGAAAACAGAATGGACATTATTTTTTCCCGCAGCCGGGTTTCGGGTGCAAAACCTTTTGCTCGCCCCATCAACTCGTAGGTTCGCGAGGTAGTCACATCTATCCTTACCACAGATATATTAAAATCCTTACTAGTATTATAAATCGGAAAGTGAGTTTGTTTGTTTGTTTGTTCCGCTTTCACGCCGTAACTACTAAACCGATTGCTTTGAATTTTTGCAGTAAAGCTAGAAGGCCGGATTAAATAATAGGGTACTTTTTATCCCGGAAAAATTTTGAATTGATATTCCCGAGAGAAAACAAAAGTATTGGTATAGATGGCGCTGTGTGTATTGGTATATGTCACATAGGCTGCTTTTTATCCTTTTGTGATGCGAGCGAAGCCGTGGGTAAAAGCTAGTTCGAAAAACAACGTAGCTCTGGTACCTAGTCTAAATTAATGCATTATTAGTACTTAGTATGGTTTAGTAGCAGGTATTTAGGTAGCAGACAGCATGTGAGTAACTAATGGAGGGGAAGAGAGAGGCATTTCGTGGCTACAACTATGAAGATTACTGACAAGGTCACCTAGATAAACTGTACTTTAGATCTTTCAACATATATGAATCTTTTAGCATTGCAAACTACTGTGATATAGGTAAATATGAGTATATAGGTAAAACTTTTTTCCTTATAAGAGAGTTAGGTACTGCAAAAATGTGCGGAGTCCTCTGCTTGAAAAACAAGACGATGAAGAAGTATCAAGGACCGTATTAGGCGACGCTCTGTAGTTAGTGCCATCCATTATGGGACAAAGGCATCAGTTTATATAGGTAAGTATGCAGTAATGTATTGTTTGGCGTGTGTATTGTAAATCGACCTGCATCGTCCGCACGCAACACCGAGATCAACAAGTTACTCGCACACGAGTCGTTATGCAACACAACGCAGTGAAAGGTTACATCAAGGTGAGCGCTGCAATCCTGCGAAGTTTTTGGTCAATTGTAACCAGTACAACTATCAATATAGCCACGAAATATGTATAGCTATGGGTATATTAATGACGACTGCACGGTTGGCGCAGTGGTTGGGCAACTGGCTGCCGCGCAACGTGCCGCGGGGTCGATTCCCGCACGGAACAACTCTTTGTGTTATCCACAGATTGTTGTTCCGGGTATGGGTGTCATGTGTATGTGATATTGTATGTTTGTAAACGCACCCACAACACAGGAGAAAAACCAAGTGTGGGGCAAAGTTTAAAAAAAAAATGTACCCACTAATTTTCGATTAAAACTCCTATATTAGGTTAGGTAAATTAGGTTGCACGGCTAGCGCAGTGGATAATGAACCTCTCCAGCGCAACATGTTGCGGGTAACATTATTCCAGCATGTCCAGCACGGTACAATGGGGTAGACGACTAATTTTTATTTTAATGTCCGTCTGGTAGATTATTTAAAAACATTAGACACGTATTTTTTATTTTTTTACGGAAACGAATAGTTTCGAAGATATATTGATTTGAAATGTCGCGTGACGTCACTTCTCAGTACATTTTATACTGAGAAATGACGTTTTAGCCCCCACTCCAAAACTTTGATTCGTTTTATCTAAGTATTGTTTTATTATACGACAAAATAAAAAAATACGTGTCCTATATTTTTTAATTACCTAACTTACGGACTAATTAGATTTTTAATTTTCATACCCTGTCATCATCCCCATTCTTTGAGTGACTTACAATTTTCTCTTCTAGGTCTGAGTGCAACGTTAGTGTACCCTCTCGTATTTGTAAACATAATCTTTAAATTATCACACAGGAGATAACTTTGTCTGAGAGGAAACGATTGATATACCTTGATACCAAATATTAAGGACAAAGGGAGGAAAAAGCCGCGAAGCAAAACATTAGCGCAGGAAATTACAAAGTATTAGATAACTAGATGCCAATAAGCCATATTTATTTAGTGAACAGCATACAAATTATCGCCTACGTATGAATATACAAAGTTAATAATGTTGTGCATGAACTGATCACCTTTATTTTGTATCTATCTATCTGACTTGATTAATAATACAAATTAAAGGAGATTTATTATAATTTTAGAACATTCAAAATTTCCTGTACAAAAGTACTAAGACCTATGTATAAGTGTGGAATGGAATATTACAATTATATTCTAAAATAACATTGATGTCGTTATGGACAAACAGATATAAATACCTACTGATATTATTTACCTGCCTCACGTAAATATTGTGGACTATATTAAGAAATTATAGGGAAAAAATATAATGTATTAGGTATTTCTGAAAATAATGTGTATTCTACATCCATTTAATTAGGCGGATGTGAACTACTTACCTACCTATACGATGTCTGTCATATTTAAGTATTTTCCCCAATAGTACATTTAATAAATATTGCCGTCAGGTATAACTCAAACCAAACCTCTTATATTGTAATGAAGATTAAAATAAAATTAATATATTTCACTAGTCAGATTTTTACTTCATAAAATTAAATAGTTAATCGTCAACTAGCGATATATATTTCTTTATTCAAGATATATTGCCCCAATCTAGAATTTTCTCTTGTGTCGTGAGTGCGTTTGCAAACATACAAGTTCACATACACATCACATCCAGACCCGAAACAACATTTTGTGGATCACACAGAGTTGTTCCGTGCGGGAATAGAAACCCGGGACACGTTGTGCGGTAGCCGGTTGTCCAACCACCGCACCAACAGTGCCGTCAACAATCTTCAAATTGACCTCAAGGAGCATATAATATAACATAACATGGTGAATTTACAATTATGCCATAAAAAAAACAATTCACACAATTTGTTTAATTTTACCAATAAAACAGTAATTAATTTAAACACTTCACCGATTTTCCTGAAGCTGATGTCCAAACAATGCATTAAAATTAAATACTTATTAATTTAATTAACTAAATAAGATAACAACTTGACTAGGTACCTATATGGATAAGTTTCCTTAATAAATCTTATTGAATTAAATAGGCACTTATATTTCTTTTATGACTGCCTCGTTGGCCGAGTGCGACTACCGGCCAAGAGGTCTCGGGTTCGATTCCCGGGTCGGACAAAGTACTACTGGGTACAAAGTACTGCCCGGTATATGGCAATAGACTCACCCCCTATTACATGGGACACGTAACATATGTATATAGTGAAAAGTGGGTGTTAAATTGTACAGTGGCAGTAAGTGCCGTAATGTGCACCTCTGCCTAAGACGTGATGACGTATGTGAGTATGTGTATACTAGCTCCTGCCAGTATCTTTGCCCGCATTCCCGTGGTATTTAAAGTAGCCTATCTGTTATTCCAGGCTATAATCACAGTCACTCTCTTACACACACACACACACACACAATCACAATCATTTGCCGTGATTGAGTAACACACACACACACAAACTTTCATATTTATAACTTACTTCTCAAAACTAGAAACTACTTTTATTGTTTACTTATGATAATGTATGACATTGCATTCTGATTGGTGATGGTTCAATGACCTTGTGGATATTAATAAAGTCTTTTGCAAACCTCCCAGCTAACACAGTGGGCAACAACTTACTAATGTATAATTTGCTAATTCTCTACTATTATGGCCCATATGGTAGTATGTCTCCATGGTGTTCAACAATTCATACATTTTAGTTTAGGATTTTAATTACAGAATATTAAAATTGTTGTGGTGGCCACGTTAAGACAACCCGCTTCTCATGCATGAAAGTACAGGTTTGAAACCTACCAACGTAAAGTACCTACCAATGTGACTTTTTCCCAGTTATATGTACTTTCTAAGATTATTTACAGACCACTGACAAATGGTGAAGGAAAACCTCGCGAGGAAACCTGGACTTATAATAACTAAGTAATGTCTAACAATATAGTTTGAAATCACCAACCCGCAATGAGCAAGTTTGGTGATTAATGCTCAAACCTTCTTAGTTTGAGATGACGGTTTGCTCAGCAGTGGGCACATAGGCTGTTGATGATGATTTAGTATTTTGTTAGTGACTAAGTTATTCTTAAGAAAAGTGGTGTTGAAGTGTGATCAACACTGGATAGTCGCCAAAACAAGATTAGTAAAACTTAAGACCATTCCAGATTCTAGATCCACTCATCTATTGTTGGACATATGCCAGTATTTTGGAACAATTAGATACAGTGCACAGCAGGTTAACCAATACTTTTCTGCCAAATTCATTTGTTAGATTTTGAGTCTTATTGTTTTGATAAAAAGTCGAAAATTCAGTAAAAATATACACGGGTTCGAGTAGTTTGATTTGGCAGCCACTGTGGAAGTGAAGCTACCTTGTTTCCTTATCCAGCTGACAAGATTTTGCAATAATTCTCATTCCAGATGGAATAAATAAATACTGCCAAGTGAACAAATAATTTGAATATACTTTTTTATGATAATTATTAAATTCATTGCCTCTACAGTTACAATTTTCATTTCCCTGTGTAGTTTAATGGTCACCAGTTGATTGTATCAATGGTGAAACTCTCATTTCAAGGCTAAACCATTTAGTTGAATTGCTCATGTGTGAGCTGTTGGTGTAACTTGTACTTTTTAACCATAGCAATGAATGATAATGAGAAAATTATGTAATATGAAATTCAATTGAATTGTGCAATTTTATGTGAAAAACAGTTTAATCTGATTTAGTAATCAATAAAGAGTATTAGTATTAAAATTTTATTTAAAAATTCCATATTAGTTATGTTATAAGTACCCTCAATACATACCCACATGCAAGTTAGTCACTGTTGTGTAAAATATGCATTTAAAATGTTTAGGTTTTTACAAAGACTGTAAACACCTATGTAGTTATCTTATTCAGAAATCTATACCAATGTTTACAATGTCATGTTGGTAGTTGCATTATTTAAATTGTGAATGCTTTACCACTTTACTTAACTGACTTTTTCGTGAGAGTGAGGTAGATATTAATCAATCAGTTATTTTACATAATATTTAGATGTTTTCCTGAAATATTAATCAGATTCGGGACAACATGTTTTCTGCCAATCATAAATATCATGGGATTGAGGGAATGTGGCTCAATTCAAGAGCATGCAAGTAATGATTGATGAATGCCAATAAAGCTAAGAGTTAGGATTAGTAGAATCGTAGTTGTTTAAAAAACAACCTTGACATTTCATTGTTTCAGTCTATCCCAATAAGAGAAAGAGGATGTAAACACAATCTTATCAGACTAATGACTATGAAATTAGATTTTAATGTTTAATGATAAAGAAATAGAGATTAACTGGAAGCTATGTAGTTTAACTATCAATTATCAGTAAGCCAGCCTCCTGACAGTAGCTACTTTAAACAGTAGACACGAACATTAATTTAGTATACACAATAAAAATATCTAATTAGAACGGGTATTCTAATAAGAGTCAATTTGGTACCCAAATGAAAGCCCAGCACTAAGCTAGTCATAAACTAATTGCTTGTTTTATCAAGTTGTACCTGGATTTTGCCGCCGAAATACAAATAAATCGTGAAACCGGTCGCTAATCTACCACATTCATTAGCAAACCACTGATAACGTTTATTTTCAGTGCATTTCGTCCATACACTCCCAGCTTCATTCAATATTCCAATGAGATTATTCAGCACTAAAAACATCTTGATTTATTCATATCAAATATTAAATACCACAAGATCTACGTCAATTTGCTATCAAGGTTTGCAAAAACTCCAATAAATAACCATATTAGTGAAACAGATTGCTGTAATTTACATAAAAATTAACAAAAACGTTCGTAAGACTTACACTTTGTCCGCCAACTCCCGAACTTTCCACATGCTTATAAAACGGTCCATTTTGCTGTTTATCAATAAAAACGATATTCAAAACACAAAATCACTATAATTTAATATGCGTTAACATAAAAATTAACTAAAAACTCGCTCTGATGATTTGGCTGACATTCTTGCAAAATGGCGAGTGGTAAAATGTTGCCACAGTAAGAAAAAATAAAAAATTGAAACCTGTGAAACGGAACGTTTTAAAAAGTTAAACGTCATTTTTTTTTTGTTTCCTTTTTGTAGATGGATCCGTATCAAAATTATTTTTTTTTTAAGAGGGGAAAATCATCGAATGACTGCTCCCATCTGGGTGAGGCGAGAGGGAGTATCAGACTCTTACCGACTAAAAACCACCCCGTTCCTTCTACTGCACGTTGAGCCGGAGCCCCGGTTACCCGTTAGGTTCTAGGCGACATCAAAATTAATTAGGAAATCTGTCTTCAAATGGTTTTCTTCAAATATTCTAATCTAAATACGATCATAAGCGCAACTCTTGTAAATTATTAAGTGACCAAGAGTCACAGTACCCTTCCTCCAATGAAATCTAGTACAATGGGTGTAACACTAAATATCATTTATAGTTAGGGGAAAATTATAAAATAAAAGCAGAACAAAATTTTAATCCTTACTTTAACATTTTATGTACACTCTTTACATAACTATTATTTAAATACAATATCTGCATAGCTTCGCATTTCACAAACCCCAGTATGAAAAGGCCTTGATTGAGACTGTAGCTTTCATATGTACACACTTATATACAAGCCTAAAGTAGAAGTGCAGCTAATTTCTTATTAAATATAACTACAATACAATTTCGTCTTTAAAGTTATGTTACATGTAATAATTTTATTTGTGCAAATAGAAAAGTGTTGCTATTGTACAACTTCAACTATGGCCTTTGCATACAGGTAACAATATTTCAAGCTAAGCTGCCGTAAACTTATTCCACAGGTAGAATATTCCGTTTTCCTTCTAATGAGGTCACCCCATTAGAAGGTCATACATCATTTCTTAGCCAGAGTGTCATTCTGTGGCTGTGCGCCATAGTACTGCCACAGCTCGATCGCTTTATTGGCCACTACTTCCTCACATTGTTCTGGAATCTGTAAAAATAATACAAATCAGAATGATAATGATGGGACTAATGGAGTCAAGTACAGCATGATGCCTTACTCAATAAAATGTGATAAGGATACTCATGTCTTAAGCTCTTTTCTAAATAATGTAGGTACTTTAGAAACCTCTGTGAAAATAAACAAAAAGTTGGAGTAATTTTACCTGTGAGACACATTTCAGCACCTCATCAGAATGTTTGGATCGAAGTATGTTTCTGCGTAGTGTAATAACTAGCATAACAGCAGCAAACGAGAGGATCTTTGGTGCACCACTGCATACCTTGTCCCAAATTCTGAAAGAGGAAATTTTACGTATTAATACTTATTTAACATTTAATAACAGACAATCACAGTTATTACATAATTATTATAATATCTTACTTTGTAAGGGATGTGTCATCTAAAATACCAGCAAAGCAACAATTGAACCATTTTGTGAGTGGCAACACTTCCATAGCATTGATGTCCACCAGGTGACTGAAAAAACAAATAAAATGAATAGGAAAACTATTTTTTGATATATGAACTATATAATATTTTGAACATCAAAAACCTGTATATTGTTATAAAAATGTTATTATTGAAATACTTCTCACTTAAATACATCTCCGTCTTCCTTTTCAAGCATTGTGATGAATGCCTCTTTGAGTTTCGGCAGCTCCCTCTGCATGTTGCGTACTACATCGGTGAGGCTTTTAGCCAGCCAGTACACATCCACTTCATCGTCATACAGCTCTAGTAATGTATTTACTATGGGTATAAATGTTTCAGCTGACTGCAAAAAAGCAGTTAGAAATTTTTTAATTATTTCCTTATTAGAAACCTACAAGACATAAGTTATGGTATTACTGATATGTTTTTTTTCTACAGCTACTACATTACTACAATCAAAGATTGTGGTAGTAAGGACTGCTGTAGCCCAAGTACACACTAGAGGCATTCACGAAAATGTCGCATGACTCTATAGAAAATGACATTGTTTTAATTTTTTTTTACTTACTGAGAAATTAGTTTCCGGGAAAAGTGGTGGTTTCCTCTCCTCATTTTCTAGTAACCACATTTCAAACAACACTTGGGTCCTTGGAGCGTCCGTAGACACAAAATCAAACTTTTCAACTGCATATAAAAGATCTTGGTACTGTTCTGTGCGCTGTTCCATTACAAACTGGTGTGAGTCTGGGTACACAGGCAGTATGTCTGTAACATTATAGAAGATAATGAGAAATAAATATTTTAGGTTGCAGAGACATAATAAATATGCATACAAGTTTCATTATTAAGCCCGCAGGTTTGTTCATGTTACTTAAATAAACAGCATTACTTGGAGGTAGTAAAATAATCATGAAAACATCTGTATGTTCATGAAATTGCATTAAATACAGAATAATAATGGTAGAAGTTATTGAAGAGAGTTTATAATTACCATTGTTTGTTATTTTATACATAATGTTTGAACGATTCGCCTATTTTCGAAAGCCAAAACTTACCCAATAATACCTTCCATACCAAATTCCTGTACGCTGCAGGCACTGTAAATCTTAAACAGAACTGTTTTAACTTCACTTTATCCCAAGGCTTCTCTTTCATTAGTATTTCTAACGATTTCTTTTCTTCCACCCCCCGGCATCCAACCTTTTCATAATAAGACGAACGAAAATTCCGTTCGTCCGTCATTTTGCAATGGTGTAAACGATTCTTATAAGAGTTTACACTGATATAGTTTAAAGTCATGCGTTTTACACGCACTATTTAATAGAAATTGTATGTAATAACTTCATTATTTATTTACCTATTTGGGAAAATATTTTACAAAGACTTTGACATTGACAGATCTACAATAAAACCACCTCAATGACGTTTTACGCTCCGTTCCATTTTGTGGAAATAGGGAAGATTTATGCGGGATGCCGGATGGTTAGCGGCCTATGTGTCATAGTGTATATAGTGTCATCATTACACTAGGATTCTTGGAAATTTTCCTTTGAATAATAATTTATTGTCTACTTCGATTGCATTCGTTAAATATATAATTTCACCCTCTTTTGTTCCATTTCTACATACGTTACTAAATTATTTTTTATTACTATCGTTGAGTACTGAAGCGGAAAGTATTTGGTACATTACCTAGATTCCTAATTCAAAATTGATCAAACAAAATACTCTGGTTACCATGGCTAGAAGCCAGTTTTGTTTGAGTTGTGTCAAAAGCGGATAAATATTATTTCATTTTCGCAAGCAAATACAATCACGCAGAATATATTAACGAAGTCGATCAACATTATTTTAACAATAACATGGAAGTGCCTGAAGCTATGAAGGATCCTCAGTATGTTGAAAAAAAACGGGAGGAATTACGAATTTTTTTCCAGGATGTCAAACTTCCAAAAGAAATGATAGAAAAAGCTATTGAAAATGAACTGAAACCTTTGAAAACTGATTTAAATAGACCATACATAGCTGCGGCTGACCAAAGCAATGTCAAGACTGAACAAGAAGTAATGTCTGGACAACCCTTTACTAAAATTGATGACCACGGTAAGCCATATACTTTTGAAGAAATTAAGGAAATGCTAAAAGACAATCCAATAATAGCGGAGAAAGCGCGCCAAATTCAGATTATGGCAGACAATGAAAATTTCAACAAGCACGTGGCTATACCGTTTGAAGAGATAAATGTATCAGACTATAATGAAATGAGGAAGGAATTGGATGATGCTAAGGGTGATAAAGACAAAATTAAACATTTAAATTACAAGAATATGCTATCCCTAATGACATCTGTTTCTAACTATAAGGCAAAAAGTGCGAAAAAATTCGATGAACCAACTTCAGAGCAAATCGAGTGCGCTGATTCAGATACTGATGAAAAGGAATACGAAGCAATAGAAAAAGTAGTCAGTCAGTACACAACAAAGTCTTACGAAACACGATTCCAAGAAACCAAGGACATGTTAGGAAAGCTGGCCGATAGCTATGAAGAAGGTGAATCATCTCAAAACTCCAACGGAAGACCAGCAGCTGTAATAGCCAGTAATCCGATACTGAAAGATTCATCCATGCTCATAATTAAAGGTCATAAAAGTCATTCAGTAATTAAAGAGGTACAAGAATCGTTTGCTATAAATGAAGCTATGAATATACCAATAACAAGTAATCCAGCTGCTTTAGGTTGTAATCTAAAAAGCAATAAAAAAGCAGAAGCGGCAAAACTGGAAGAAGACGAAAATTTGGACGTACAGGAAGTATTTCCCAAAACTTTTGCAGCAAAACTTAAAGATACAGAAAAAGTATTGCAAGAAATTAACTCCGTTCTTAACAAGGCATCATCACCAGCACTTGTATCAAATGAGACGTCGAACAACATTAATAATAATTTGAATTCACAGGAAGTGGAAAACAAAAATGAACCTCAAAAGTTTGATGAAGGCATGGAACAGACATTACAGAATACTCTAGAAGGTATATTTGAGTCAAGTAATGGAGGAAAGTCAGAAAATAATGAAATGGAATATAAAGAGATGAAAAATTTAGCTCGTAATATTGTTGAGGGAGCTGAAAATTTAAGCACTCTAATACGCGAAGATATAACAAATAAACTGAACAGCATGAATGAATTACTGAATGATGTCAACGAAGCACTAGAAAATTCACGAAAATCTAACATTGCTTATGAGAAATTGAAGGAAGAGGGAGAAATTCTTCGAGGTGAAATAAAACCTGCGGAAATAAAACCTACAGAAAAAACAAACGAAATTCAGGAAGGCGAAGAACCTAATAATATATCTGATCCACAAATGGACAGTATACATGACGCCATAGCTAAATTGAATACAGAACTTAAACATCATGAGGAAAGAATAAACCAAAGCAAGGCTAGATATGAACAGAGGAATGATGAATGCAAGACGTTCATTAAAGAAGTCGATCAATTGTTATTAAAATCGCATGACATTTTACGACCAATGAGGAAAAAAATGGAAGAAGAGAGAAATAAGGAAATAGCTGAAGAAATCAGACTGCAAGCTGAAGCACAAGCTTCCACTGAAGACAAGCCTACTACTGAAATTACTGTCGAAGTTGATGAAAATGTAAAGAAACCACGTAAAGAATTGTGGGATATTGATTTCTCTCAACAAAATGAAAAACATAAAAAAATTGCAGAGGCTCAAAAAGAAGAGCTTGAGCGAAGCAAGAAGATAAACAATCTTCTTTATGACATTAAAGATAAGATGAAAGATAATAAGGAGGTGATAAGATTAGCCAACAATATGTTGAGAAGGGAAGAGAATAGACGGAAAGGTGTTCTGGATAACTCTGGTAAGATTCAAGAGTTACCAGCAGAAGAGATAGACACCAAAGCTCAAGGAGATCACATTGAAGCAGCAGAAACGGAGTCATCTGGCGGAAAGGATGTTCCACCGCTTACCGATGAGATACGCCAAGGTTAGAAAATGAATTAACGTAATACAATTGTTGGTAGAATTTAAATTATCTACTTGGTTAAGGTAGTTATTAGAAGGTGCAATAAAATTACCCATAACAATTTGCCTTTAAGTACAAATCCCTTTTTCAGAAGTGGAAACCGATTTAGCGAAAAAGACTGAAGAAATGAAAAAATATGGCGAGGCAGCAAAAGAGAGAATAAGACAGCGAGAATTTCAAAAAAAGGTGGAAAAGGAATTGGAAGATATGAATAAAACCCCGAGAATGACAAAAGAGTTCATTAAAAACCACTGCAGGCAACATAAACTGTATTGCACTCCATACTTGAACGATATTTTGTATTTGCATTTCAAGGTAAGTAGGCAAATAGTTTATTGTCACTGCGCGGTGGTCTATCTAAGATATTATTTATTCCAATGTTTTATGTAATTCTGGTTTAACTTGTATTCTCTCATTTAGGGTTTTTCTAAAATCGAAAACCTTGAAGAATACACTGGTCTCAAATGTATATTTCTGGAAAATAATGGCATACAACGGATTGAGGGACTAGACACATTATCGGAGCTCAAATGTCTGTACTTGCATTACAACATTCTGCGGAAGATAGAGAATTTGGACGGATGTCCCAAACTGGATACTTTGAACATCGATCACAATTTTGTTTCAAAGATTGAGAATCTGGATGTAGTCCCGGACTTGCACACGCTAAGTATTGCTCATAATATGTTGAGCGCCGTAGGTGAGTTTATTATTATGTTATCTAATTATTTATTTAAGCTTGTACAAATTAAAATATGCATTAAAAAATAATGCCGAAAATGGCTGCTTAATGTTCAAACAACATTTTTCAGATGACCTCGTTCATTTACGACTTTGTAGAAACCTGTCCGTATTGGACCTTTCTTACAACCGCTTAGAAGATCCTCTGATAGTCGATGTGCTTGCTGACATGGTGATTTTGAAAGGTATGTATAACAAAATTGTAGAATTTTTATAGTAAATCCAGTCAACTGACGACACCGCGCCAACCGTGCGTTGGCGTGGTGGTTGGGCAACCGGCTGCCACGCAACGTGTAGCAGGTCCGGTTCCCGCATGGAGCAACTCTTTGTGTGTTTCACAAATTTTTGTTCCGGGTCTGGGTGTTACGTGTATGTGAACTTGTATGTTTGTAAACGCACCCACGACACAGGAGAACAGCCTAGAGTAAGGCAACGTTTTAAAAAAACTCAACATCAACTTTATTACAATTTCCAGTGCTGGTTCTGACTGGCAACCCTGTTGTACGCAACATCCCAGCGTATCGCAAGACATTGACTCTCCGGTTAAAGGAACTGCTCAACTTGGACAACCGGCCGGTCTTCCCCAGGGACCGAGCTTGTGCCGAGGCTTGGCAACGTGGTGGTGTGCAAGAAGAAATCGCTGAAAGGAGACGGTACTTACATTTAAAGCCTTTTCGACAATAACTTATTTTATCTGAAGGAAAAAATATTAATTAGTAATTTATGAAATGAAATTGGTTTTAGCTGGATAGCAAAGGACCAAGAGAAAGTAATGGAGAGTGTCAGGTATTTGATTAGAATGCGCGATGAAAAGAAAGCAATAAGAGAAGCGAAGGAGAAGGAAGAGCGGGAGAAAGCGGGTCTGTCACCGCAGGTAAAATGGTCTTTAAGATCTAATAAATTCAATAATTTATTGGTAAGCAAAAATGTATGTATTTTATTATAATACACACAGGAAGAAGAAAAGCCAGAAAATAAAACCGAAGAAAGTAAAAAAGATCTTCTAGAAATCGAAGGTCGTCCAGTACAAGAAGATCCTGCTGAAGTGAAGGTCAAGGAAGGCGTAGCTGTGGACATGCTCTCAGGATCTGGAGAAGATGATTCTACAAGTGAAGAGAGCAGTGATGAAAGCGATGATAAGGAGAACGGTAACAATATATGATTTATTATTGAGTAGGTATCTATTTAATAGAATTATCGTTTGCCATCGAATTAATTTGAATTTAATAAGGTATAGAAACGGGAAACATCGAGTGGTGTCAAGGGGATCGTGGTAATCGTCTTGTGCAAGAAATCACCGACGAGCCCCCGCCGCCTCTGCCAGACGACTACTGGTATGGCTACGGGAACATCAAGGCAAAGAATCAAAGGCCGTAAGTTTTATAATAACATAAGAAGTTAATTCGTTTTCCGAGCAATGAAAAGTACTGATGGTATTGTAACAAGATTGAACGATTTACTAATTAACTATGCACTTTTCTTGTATAGTAGAAGTTAATTATTACACC